TTTTTCAGTTAGCCTTCACAAAGCTGTCAAGCCAGACCCTATACACATATGGGCAGAGGCCGGTAGACATACAAGGACATGCATGCTCCACACAAGCAGGAGAAAGGCAACGGACTCATCCCATAGATGCAAAAACGACTGCCACCTGGGTTGGGGTAGAGACTCCACCTACCTAGTCATTCAGAGTGAGCTGCAGTAGATGGGGATGGAAATTGGGCAGGGGTAAAATCCCAAGATGCATCGGGGCGTGATGCAATGGGTTGCAGAACAAATGCCAGATGGAAGGCATGGGCTCAGGGACCCTGGGGACATAGCCGACAGCGCGTTAGAATCAGCGCCACGACTTCGCCTGGGCCGTGGGTGGCATCTCCCTGGAAGTGAGCGACCTGGTTTAGAATCTGCGAGTGATATAAGAGTATCAGGATTCTGAACCTTTGACCCCATGCCCCCGCCCCCCTCCCCCAAACCAGGAACAAATTGTAAAGGGACTTAAATCACCTGTTGTTTCTCTGTCTCTGGATCTATTTTTGTTCACCAGTTTATGTTGATCATTATATTCCACAAATGAGTGAGACCAATGTGATAATTATCTATCTCTGCCTGGCTTATTTCACTTAGCAGAATGCTCTCCATCTCCATCCATGCTGTTGCAAATGGAAACATCAATAATCAGAACGTCAAACCACAGGGAAGGTAGGGGTCAGTTTGAGTAAGGAGGAGAGATCAACCAAACGACTTATATGCATGCAGATAGGCCTAATCAATGGGCACAGACAACAGGGGGATGAGGGCACAAGTGGAAGGTGGGGGGGTGGTAATGGGAGAATAAGGACACATATATAATACCTTAATCAATAAAGAATTTTTTTTAAAAATCACCTGTTTAGAAATAAGGAAACCAAACTCTTACTACTAATACTTTGGTGTAGTCAGCAGTTTTGTACAAATCATGGCAACCAGTGAAATAATTGAGGGTGCTTGGATACCTTAAGACACTGTTTCCCAAACTTTTGACATATGTGTAACCCTTCTATAATTTTCATAACGCTGAGTACCCCTCGTACTCATGAGAATGTAGAATTAGGTGCAGCTAAGCACGGTGCAGTGCATATCCCCACCAAACTCCAGTGCAATGTGTACCCCCACCAAACACGCATACCCCTGGGGGTATGCGTACCACACTTTGGGAAACACTGCCTTAAGAGAACCTGGCTTGCATTTGTGGTTTTCACCTGAAATGTGTAACTGCAATTAGTGTACAATTCTAATTCTGGAGGTGCCGGTGAATTGTCAGTAAACTTCAAAAAGCTTTGAACTGCTCCAGACAACCTGATTTCCTACATCTGAGCAACACGTTGCTGCTTGGATCTGAACCTTGCCTGGGCTGGCAGTCTGACATCCTGGAAAGATTCATTAAAACTTGGAAATATGTTTAAAATATTTAAAAGAAATGTAATGATGTTTGCAAATAGGCTTAATTGGGGGCATTTAATGTGTTAAATGTGTGACTAATTAGGACAAGCAGTTATTTTTACAGAAAAAAAATACATTATAACAAAATGTGCATGACCTTAAATTTTTAGAAATAGATTTTTAAGCTTTTACCTTTTTTTTCTTTTCTTTTTAGATTTTTGTCTTGATTTTTAGAGAGAGGAAGGGAGAAGGAAAGAAATGTCGATATGAAAGCAGAACATGGATCGGCTGCCTCCTGCACACCCCCTACCAAGGATGGAACTCACAACCCAAGCATGTGCCCTGACCAGGAATCGAACCAACAACCTTCAATTGACACTCAACTGGGCCGCACAGGCCAGGGCAAGTTTTTACCTCTTTAACAGATTGAAAATTTATTTAAAGTCACTATAGTCATTTGCACACATACGAACACCCTTGAACTCTGAGAAACTCAACTGCATCTCTCTGACAATTGTAGAATGCACAACCCGTTTCCATTCCAGCGACTGTTACACATTCTTTTTAAGTGAGCACTGAAGGAGGCTGATTGCTCAGACCTCTGACAAGTGAGCCATGTGCTTCTACCCTCGTTTTAGGCAACTTTCTGGTTGGAACCATTTCCCCTGTCCGCAACCTCTGTAACACTGGGCCCTCGGTTGGACTTGCATGTTAGCAGCTTAACAAGGGATCTTGGTTAGAATGTCGCCTCGAAATGCCAAGATTGAGGGTTCCATCTGGATCAGGAATCAACTCTGATCTGGGACCAGGCTCTGGCCTGTACCGTGGAGCTAGAGCCATAGCAGATCCACTGTGAACATTTACTAGACTCCTTACCTCCTATAGGCAAAACCTATACAAATACTTCCCAAAGCAAATGCTAACTTCTCCCATGTCCTTTCTCCTGAGCAGCCCCCTTGCCTGGGCCCTTTCCCAGGACAGCAAGTTTTCCAAAAACTTACTGAACCAATTCCTCTACGAGAGGGCCTCACACCGGACTACCATTGTTGGCCCCAGTTCAGTTAAATTCTGATGTAGTCCTCATCCTCCTTTAAGTTGATTTGAGAAACATCAATTAGTTGTTCCGTTTACTTAAGGCATTCTTTGGTTGATTCCTGATCCAGATGGAACCCTCAATCTTGGCATTTCGAGGCGACATTCTAACCAACTGAACTACCCTGGCCAGGACCAAGTCTTCATCCTCTTAAACGAGAGGACAAATCATGTTCAAGGTTCTCTGAGAGATTCTTTAACAGAACCCCTTGAAACTTAAAATAGGATTGACCGCAGCCAACATTTATATGGACTAATATTCTAGGAGCTTGGCATGTTGACTTTCCAATGGCACTCTTAGCCCCACTGAGAGGATGGTCGTGCAGTCCCCTCTGTGGGCAACGGCAGACTCCACAGCCCCAGCTCCCTGTAGCTGCTGCACTAAACTACCTTCACTAGTAGACACAGCCCTAACTGGAACATAGACCCATGGCTTCTGCTACTAACGTACACTTCCCTACCCCACTGCACTATTGTTATTTACATTGATAGCCTCAGGGAGGAGAGATAAGTAAGGAAGCTAGAGCCAGTGCATCCAAGTCCCCTGGGATCTTGTTTAAAAAGCAGGTGCTGCCGAAACCAGTTTGGCTCAGTGGATAGAGCATCATCCTGCAGACTGAAAGGACCCAGGTTCGATTCCGGGCAAGGGCATGTACCTGGGTTGCGGGCACATCCCAGGGGGGTGTGCAAGAGGCAGTTGATGTTTCTAACTTGATGTTTCTAACTCTCTATCTCTCTCCCTTCCTCTCTGTAAAAATAAATAAATAAATAAATAAATAAATAAATAAATAAATAAATAAAATATATATATATATATATATTTTTTTTTTAAATAAATAAAAATAAAAAGCAGGTGCTGAGGGGTGGGGTGGGGGGATTGAGGACAAATATGTGGTAACTTAATAAAGAATTTTTTTTTAAAAAGCAGGTGCTGCCCTGGCTGGCATGTCTCAATTGGTTAGGTGTCTTTGCCATGCACAAAGAGGTTGCTGGTTTGCTTCCTGGTTAGGGAACAGGCCAGGATTGTGTGCTCCATCCCCAGTAGGGGGCGTGCAAGAGGCAGCTGGTCAATGTTCCGGTCTCACATTGATGTTTTTCTCTCCCTCCCCCTTTCTCCCTCTGAAAATCAATAAACATTAAAACAAAAAAAACAAATTCTGATTAAGAAGGTCAGGGCAAGGCCTGAGGATCTGCATTTCCAATAAGCTCCCAGGTGACGCTGGACAGCTGCTATTTATGGGACATCTTGAATAGCAAGGGGTGAGAGGACCTCCACTGAGACCACTCAATTTGTCCGATGGAAAAATAAGAGGAATGGGGCACCCAGATATCACAGAGCTGTCTGATGTTGCGGAAAACAAATGAAGAAACTGCAGTGCCAAAAGGCTGAATGTGCCAGGGTCAAAAGCATGTTAGGAGTGTGACGGATGTCCCACACCCGTGTTCGGCAAACTGTGGCTCGAGAGCCACATGCGGCTCTTTGGCCCCTTGAATATGGCTCTTCCACAAAAGACAATGGCCGGGGCGAGTTTATTTTGAAGAAGTGGCGTTAGAAGTTTAAAAAAAATGGCTCTCCAAAGAAATTTCAATCATTGTCCTGTTGATATTTGGCTCTGTTGACTAATGAGTTTGCTGACCACTGCCCCACACCATCCTTGGGCCACCCTTCACACACACACACACACACACACACACACACACACACACTTCTGGAATAGCAAGGAGCAAGCCAAGAGCTGCCAATGGACGCTGTTGCTTTAATTTGTCCGTGCCAAGCAATAGCAAAGTGGTCCACACTCCAATCGTATCCCTTTAATGGGCAGTACTAAAGTAAAACAAAGTGTGCTGATGAAGAGGTCCATCACACCTCTGCACTGAAAAATGAGGCCAGCCACATAAATTCTCTTCCTTAAAAAACAGCCATTTCAAAAGATTTTCTTTAATATCATAAAATATTTCCATGGACAGTGAGCTAGCAAACACACATGCACCAATGTGCCTTCTGACAAGATCACCCCCTCCCCACCCCTTTCCCATGTCAAGCTGGACATGAGACCGGAGAAATGAATACAGCAGATGGAACAGATAGAAAAAAAAAAAAAAAAAAAAAAAGTCGGTAACAAGGATGGCATATAACATTGTGCTTGGTTCTTTTCCTATGTCACAAAACAAAAAACATTTTGGTGCAAATAGTTAATTCTTCCTCTTTTTCCATTTAAGTCTGGTGGAGAAAAAAAATACTTTTTTTCTATAATAAAATATGCGGTGTTTTGTTTTGTCTTTTTTACTTTTTTTTTTTTTTAACATAACTTTTTTTCTTTTTTTCTTTTTTCTTTTTTGCAGAAAATAATTTTGTAAACTGTCACTTGGCGGGCAGGGAGGCTGGAGGCCACGGGGTCCCAGCTCAGGAGGCGGGCGGGCGGGCGGGCGGGGGCAGCGGGGGAGCAGGGCGGGCTGGCAGGGGCAGGGGTGCGGGCGCCGGGCGGGCGGGCGGGTTAGAGGTCACTCTCGCCGTAGAGGGCCGTGGAGAAGGACATGTAGTCCAGAGCACCGGGCACGGCGTCGGGGCCGGTGTAGGGGGCCATCCGCGCGATGCAGTACTCGGCCTGGTCCGGCGGCAGCTCCCGGCGCAGCTCGTCCACGGTGATGTAGTTCTGCGGAGGGAGAGAGCATCACTGCCAACTGCGCCTGTTCCACCCCGCCACCCCGCCAGCCCTCCTGTGCTGGATACACACAGGACACGCCGCACACGCAGGTCTCCATCCGCAGTGGGACCGTGCGGGACCCCCAGGAAGGGCGGTGGAGGTGCTCACCACCTTCCCGCAGGTCAGCGCCCACCCGGCCAGGGCCTGCCACCCCAGTGGGGCACCCGCAACCCGGAAAACGCACCTTGTCGCCGGCCAGGATCTTGAAGGAAGCCATGACCTGGTCTGCTGTGTCTGTGTCGGCCGTCTCCCGGGACATGAAGTCGATGAAGGCCTGGAATGTCACTACGCCCAGGCGGTTGGGGTCCACGATGCTCATGATCCGGGCAAATTCTGCCTCTCCCTGCAGAGAAGAGCCACCCCGGGCCTGTCAGCCTCTGAGCCACACAGCCTGCGGGGACTCTGCAGGGACCTGGAGCCCCGGGAGCCTGTGGCTGTTAGAGGAGGCACAGCCGCCCCAGGGGCCAACCTGGGCTGTCCTGAGGGCATGAGGAGCCTCTTCACAACACCCAACAGTGAAGACCCCGCTCAGGGCTCCCCTTGAAGCACACTATGCTAATCTATGCTAATAAAAGAGGAAGAGGCAAACTGACCGTACCTCCTCAACACCCACAAGCCAACCAGGAGTATGCAAATTAACCCAACAAAAATGGCGGGTTAATTTGCATACGCAGGCCACCAAATGCCCCACCCGCTCCAGGCCTCTGGGCAGTGTGGGAAGGCAGGCGGAAAGGCAGCTCCAGCCACAGCAAAGGTGGTGCCAGCAGCCAGGAGAAAGAAGGCCCATTCTTGCACGAATCTTCATGCATCGAGCCTCTAGTGCTGAGAATAATGGTAATGACAATAACAGCAGCTCCACCCACACTGCCTACATGACATCCCAGGCACTATTCCAAGTGCTGAGCATATTTTAATTCATTTAACCCTCACCACAGCCACACAGGGCAGGCGTTTACTTCCATCGGGTTTCCAGATGAGGTACATGCAGCCCAGACAGGCTTAGTGACTTGCCCAAGGTCACACGGCCAGCAGCAGGTAGCAGATCTGGGCTTTGTAAGTTCCTTCACTTAACCTTTACAATAGCCCTTGCCTCATCCGGGCCCCCAAGCCGGTGGTGGTAGAGCTGGGATTGACTCCTAAGTTTGCTGCTCCCACAGCCCAGGCCTCACTCCTGTGCAGGGCAGCCCAACACTCCGCATGGTGCACAGCCCGGCAGTTACCCGGCTGCCCGGCTAAGGCCCCGGCCCTGCCTTGGTGGATGCACGAGGGCAGGCAGCTGAGGAGGCTAGGGAGCAGCCTGGGGCAGTGCAGAAGGGTGGGCAGGCTCAGCCTGGCCCTCAGGAAAATGGCAGAACTCCCCACGCCTCGTACCAGAACGTGCAAACCTGCAGTCCTTCTGCTAGTCTCAGTTCGGCCCAGCAGGCCGCAGTGGGAGTGAGAACGCCTGTGTCCATGGTGAGCACCAGCAGGCAAACTGGCACCGACGGTGGGACAGCCAGAACTCCAGGACACACAGGCCCTTCCTTCAAGCTACACTTTCCCCGAGGACCAGAGCCTGGAGCCCCCTCTGGGGAGGGCAGCCCTGGCCGGAGGGCATCCGGACTGCCACGGCGAGGACGTGGCCTCAGCGAGGACGTGGCCTCAGCGGCCGGCTGGCTGTCCCTCGCCAGGACGGAGGGTGGGGTTTACATTACCATGTTGTAACCCATGGAGATCAGGCAGGCTCGGAAATCATCCGTGTCCATCATGCCTGTCTTCTTCTGTAGGGACAGTGGCACCGAGACACGAGGAGGAAGGGCCGGCCCAGGGCCGGGAAGACAGGGCACAGAGGGCCGGAGGGGAGGTCGCGGGGTTTGGTGTCGGGGTCCGGAAGGGGAGAGGAACAGAGGAGGAGGAGGAGGAGATGTGAAACACATCCGGGAGAGATATCCAGGAAGGAGGAAGACAGAGCAGGGAGATGCAGAGGTCCATCCACGGGAGGGAGAACGGCGAGGAGAGGAGGCGGGCACCGAGCGGGTTCCCGGGAAAGAACCGAGGGCAGGGCCAGAGGTCGAAGTAGTGGGAGGGAGGAGCCCGACGCGGGCCAGGCGAGGACAGCGCGAGACGATGAGCCCCAGGGCCCACAGGGAAGGGAGACAGGGAGAACCAGACAGACAGAGAAGAGAAAAAGGAGAAATACGCATTATTTCTTGCCCCGGACGCCACCCCTGAGCGTGCTCCATGCAGGAGGCAAGTACCTGGGGGTCGTTGCCAATATCATAACCCAAGCTGATGAGGCAGGCTTTGAACTCCTCGGGACCCAGCGTGCCGGAGTGATCCTGGGGCCGCCGTGCGTCAGGCAGCGAGCCATGCGGTGCCAGGGAGGTGAGGCCGTGAGGGGAGGGGTGGGCCATGCCCCGGGGGAGGGTGGCAAGTGAGGGAGACACAGGGACGAAGGCATGCGGACAGAGAAGGTGGAGGGTGGACGGGGTGGGGGAGGAGGGAAATAAAAGTGCACATGGTTAGACACACGGACACAGTCCCGAGGGTGCCCTCTCCCCGACACACGCAGCCCTGCTCCGGGGGGCAGGCCAGAAGGGAGCACAATGAGCCACGGGGGTGAGAAGCCCCCACAGGTGCCCAGCCCGCCTCCAGCCCGACGCCCCACCCCAGTTTCCAGGAGGGCTTCACCCAGCCAGGCAGGGTGGTGGGCAGCTCCTAACTCATGTTCCCTCCCCTCCCATGTAGTCATCCCGAGGCCCCAGAGCCTGGGAGGGGCACCCCACACTGACAGCTCTGTGCTGGGGGCAGGAGGGAGCCCCGCTCCTCTGTCCTGAGGCAGAGGCAAGGGACGGTCCCTACAGCCAGAGGCAAAAGGCCTTCCCTGAGGCTACGGCAGCCTTGCTCTCAAGAGCTGAAGTTACAGGTAAGAGAGCAAAGGTCAGGGGTCAAGGGTCCTTCCTTTCTCCACCCATGATCCGAGCTGTCCCTCCAGGAAAGCAGAGAGGCTCATGGGGCATGAGGATTGGCTTTCTGAGGCCGGCATCGTGCAATGCAGAGCAGGACAGGCTGCTAGTGATGTTCCCTCCTTCCTCCTCCTCCTCCTCCTCCTCACCTGCCCAGGAACTGGATCCAGCTTGGCTGCCCACACCTGGGGCAGTGCCCTCCAGGGCCCTGGGGCAGGGGCTGGGGCTGCTGTAAGCACGTGCAGGGGGGGGCTCTCACCCGGTCAAAGTGGTTAAAGGAGGCCCGGAACTCGTTCATCTGCTCCTGGCTGATGCCCTTGGCGTCCCGGGTCAGGATCTGGTTCTCCACCTCGTTGATGGTCCTGGCGATGGTGGTGAGGAGCTGCTCCCAGCCCACACGTATGTGCTGGATGCGGACAAGGGGCCACGGGGCCAGTCAGGGTAGGCTGCCCCACACTCCGTCCCCTGGCCACCGAGTGGTCCAGGCAATCACACCGGCCTTCGGTATGATTCACGGTGTCAGCAGAGGCAGGGGGGCCAGAGCCAGGGCAGAGGAGCTACAGGATGAGGGGCAAGTGCGGGCAGGGGGTGGTGGCTTCCGCTTGGGACAGCAGAGACCAGCCAGGGCGGCCATCGTGGAATGAATAGGAAGGAGAGAACATTTGGTAGTGCGAAGGATTCAAGGGTTAAAAAACTGGGTAGTTCTTTGAATATCCAACGCCAGAACTACACACATATGCTTTCATGGTCAAAACAAGTAATCATTCAGAATGCAGGTGCCTAAGGCAGTGTTTGGAGACCAGCATCAGAATCTCCGGGGGGCTTGTTAAAAAGGTTAGATTCCTGCCGAAACCGGTTTGGCTCAGTGGATAGATAGAGCACTGGCCTGTGGACTGTGGGGTCCCAGGTTCGATTCCGGTCAAGGGCATGTGCAGGAGGCAGCTGGTGAATGTATCTCTCTCATCAATGTTTCTGGCTCTCTATCCCTCTCCCTTCCTCTCTGTGAAAAATCAATAATAAAATACATTTTTTTTTTTTTTTAAAGTTAGATTCCTGAGCCCCATCCAGACCCAGTGAACTGTGGAGGCGGGGTCTGGACACCTGAATGTCAACAAGCTCCTTGGGAAATCCAGAAAGTGCTGAGGACTGAAGACCCAGAGCGCCCATGGTGAGAAGGGAGTGACCCCTCAGCCCAAAGCAAGCATTGATCCTTATAGCAAATTTCCTGGGAAAATGACAACCTCCCCCAGCCCAGCCCGGGAAGGGAACCGGAAGGGGACCCGGGCTTCCCCCCGAGCGCCGAGGCCCAGACACGCACCTCCATGGTGTAGTTGGTGTGCTTGTTGTCGAAGATGAGCGCCTCCTGGATGAGCTGGTAGTCGCCCTCCAGCTGGTCGATCTTGGGCTTGTAGTTGACGATGCTCTTCTCGTACTGCCGCAGGTGGCTGAGCTGGTCCTCCAGGGTCCCGTGCATCTCGATGGAGATCCTCCCGATCTCCTGCTCAGCCGGGAAGGAGGCCCTGGTCAGACCACCCCACTCTATGCCCCGGGAGTGGAGATGGGGCCTCCAGGCCACTGGTCAAACCCTCAGGTGATTCTTGGCTCCCACCCCAGGACCTGAGAGCCCCCTGGGGTAATTAGAAGCCCGGACTGGACACATTCAGCATCTGTGCCCCTTGGCACCGCAGTAGCGTCCCAGCAGAGTGGGACAAGCAGTGCCATCAGTGGGTGAAACCCCGCCCCTCCACCCAGCTCAGGGACCTTGCGTGCCCACAGAGCCAGGTCCTCACAGCCTCAGTGCACCTGGTTTACTTCCCCAGGGCCATGCCCCTATGTTCTGCTCCTCAGATGCCCACCTCGGCCCACCGCAATGCCACCCACCTGTGAGCCACTAATCCCCATGTCTGTTGGCCCTTCATCAATATAGACTTCGTTTGTGAAGAACTCAACCTGGACTCTGCCCTCAAGGAACTCAGAGGGACACCATGCTCTAACCATGGACACCGTGGTCAGCAAACTATGGCTCACGAGCTACATGTGGCTCTTTGGCCCCTTGAGTGTGGCTCTTCCACAAAATGCCATGGCCTGGCGAGTCTATTTTGAAGAAGTGGCGTTAGAACAAGTTTAAGTTTAAAAAATTTGGCTCTCCAAAGAAATTTCATTCATTGTACTGTTGATATTTGGCTCTGTTGACTAATGAGTTTGCTGACCACTGATCTAACCCAAAAGGTGTCCCTTCCCTGACCTACACAGCACCCCTCTATTTGGCCCGCACAATTCAGCAAAAAGTGCCTTGCCTGCCTGAGGTTTAGGTCTCTCTCTGGAAAGATCCTCCTCCTTGACCAAGCTCATTGCTTAGGAGCAGGGATAGTGAAGGAAGAAACCTGGTCGGCCAGATATGCCATAAGGGTGAGCCAAGTTAGCCACCCAGGCACTGATCCTGCTGTGGGACTTTCTTGTGGGATTTTAGTGGTGTCCCTGTGTGGGTCTTGGCTCAAGATAGCTGCTAAATTATTCTCTCTTATCATTGATGTTCTGGCTCTCTCCCCCTCTTCCTTCCTCTCTGAAATCAATAAATATATATTTATAAGTAAATAAATACTAAAAAATAAAATAAAAGACCAGACACTGGGATCAGCCCACAGCCTCCCTGCATGAGCTCCATCCCTCTGTAGGGCAGCAGACCAGTCACAGGCTCAGTACCCCCAGTCCGCCTGGGAGGAGACAAGGCAAGCCTGTCTGGTTGGGACAGGAGCGGGAAAGGAAGGGGTGGGAGACTCATGCCTGCCTCCCACGATGGGACCCACCTCCATCTTGGTCTGGATCCAGGGCCCGATGACGTTGGCCTGGGCCCCGAACTGCTTGCGTAGCCTCTCGTTGTGCTGCTGGCGGGCATGCTCCTCCGTCAGGGCCTGGTCCCTCCGAGGCACCAGCTGCCGCACCTGGGGCAGGAGCAACCGTGGGGCATTGGGGTTGGGCCATCTACCTGCCCCACACTTCCGATGAAAAGGAGGACCCAAGGAGGGTAGGGCCAGTCAGTAACACACGGGGGTAAAGATGTTGGACGGCTCTGCCCAAACCAGTTTGGCTCAGTGGATAGAGCGTCGGCCTGTGAACTGAAAGGTCCCGGGTTCCATTCCGGTCAAGGAGCATGTGCCTTGGTTGTGGGCACAACCCCAGTGGGGAGTGTGTGAGGGGCAGCTGATTGATGATTCTCTCTCATCGATATTTATGATTCTCTATCCCTCTTTCTTCCTCTCTGTAAAAAAAAAATCAATAAAATATATTTAGGGGAAAAAAAAAAAAAAAGATGTTGGACGGCTCTAGAAATTCAGTCATTCATTAACTCGACGATTTGACTAGGTGACAATAACAAGAAACACCAAAATAAATAAAAATCCACCAACCAAAGAAGGGACAAAAACCCCTGCCTTTAGGAAATTTAAAGCCCTTGGACTCACATGGTCCCATTTGCCATTGATCTCCTGAGGCGTGATGGTTGTGTAGGGGTTGGTGCCGGCCATGTTGACGTGGTAGGTCTGGACAATCTTGGTCACCTCGTTGTGGATGCCCAGGATGGCCAGGCGCTCCTTGTCGGCATCTGGGAGGGTGGCCTTGAACTGCTCATGCGCTGTGGTCAGTCCCTGGACAGAGATGGGGATGCAGGAGAAGAACAATGACTGGAGGGGCTGGTGCCTGCCACGGGCCAGATGAGCAAAGACAGCCCTGCAGGTCCCAGGGAAGAGGTGGGAGGAAGGGCCCCCCAAGGCCTGAAGGCATCAACTGAGGATTATCATGGCTCAGAACTAAGAGGGCCAGGCTGGCCGGGGAAGGTGAAGGGAGGCATCAAAGCAATAGCTTCCTGCTCGGGGCTGGGGAAGTCAGCAGCAACCTCAAGGGTGCTCACCACCCCTCAGTCAGGTCAGAAACAAGGAGTGCCCCAAGGCCTGCTCCCAGGTGACCTCCCCCAACACAGGCTTCCTCAGCGCTTTGTAAAAACCCTTGCAATCTAACCTGTGCAGCTGTATAAAAGGACAAGGAGGCTGTTTACTGATATGCAACAAGTTCCAAGGTATCTGTTACATTAAACATCAAGGTTCAAGCCCTGGCCAGTGGGCTCAGTGGTTAGTGTTGGCCCACACACTGAAGGCTCACAGGCTAGCTTCCCAGCCCTGGTCAAATCAGTCAGGGCCCAGGCTGGACACAACCAACGGATGTGTCTCTCTCACACTGATGTTTCTGTCTCTCTCTTTCTCTCTCTCTCTCTAAAAATCAATAGAAAAGCTCTACCAGCGTGGCTCAGTGATTGAGTGTCAACCTGTGAACCAGGTCACAGTTCAATTCCTGGTCAGGGCCTATACCCTGGTTGCGGGCTCCATCCCCAGTGTGGGGCGTGCAGGGGGCAGCCGATCAATGACTCTCTCTTACCTTTGATGTTTCTTATTTCTTTTTCCCTCTCCCTTCCTCTCTGAAATCAATAAAAATATATATTTTTTTAAAAAATAAAAATAAAAAAATCAATGGGAAAAATACCCTCCAGTGAGGATTAACAATAAATAAATAAGATTGGAAACACAGTATATTATAAAAGCTGTGGTATGTAAGAGAAGGGTGTGAAGGAGACTGTTAACCAGTAAGTATATTTGCTGCATATGCAGAGGCTGTGTGTGTGTGGCCATACTGCTTTCCTCTGGGGGACGGGGGATAGGAGCACGAACTTCATGCACAACTTTCTCATCTTTCAGATTTTATACCATCTCCATAGGTTATCTAATCGAAATGAATGCAATGCAAAGGTTTCCAATCTATGAAACCCCTGGGACGCTCGCTATCCTCAGTACTCTCTCTGCAGAGGCAGCCTGGGGAGTGGCCTGGCAAAGGGTGGGCCACCACCAGGGGCGAGAGGACTGCACCCACCTGGATCTCCTCGATGGTGTGCACGATGAAGGTGTCCTGCAGGTCCTCCATGGCCCCCTCCATCCAGTTGTTGAAGGGTGCCGCCCGCTTGGCGTACTCCAGGTACAGCTGGTCGATGGTTTCCAGCAGTTTCTCTGTCCGCTAGGAGTGTCAAACGGGGTGGAGGGAGGGACATGTGAGCAGAGTCATATCTGGAATCCCTCCCCTCTCCCCGAGGTCCTCCTGGCCAGCCCCAAGTGGCCCAGGTCTGGGAGCTCCGGGTGAACTCAGGCAGAAAGAACAGGCTGTCTGGGCACCGCGCCAGGGGGAGGGCAGGAGAGGAAGCATCTCCACAAGCCAAGCCCAGACGCAGTGCCCGTGTGAGTGGGCCTTCCGCATTCAGGCCACGGCTGGGGGAGGTCTGAGGGGCCCCGTGGAGCGCTGTTGCCTGAAGCAAAGGGAATCACAGAGCTGCAGGAGCAGGCCCCCGTCTCCCTCGGGGCCCTCACCTCCAGGGCTTCCCTGCGCTTCTGAGTCAGGGCTCCTAGATTGTCCCACTGGTCACAGATCTTTTGGCACCGGGCGTTGACACTGGGTGAGTCGTAGTAGTCCAGCTCACTGGGAGGGAAGAGACGGGAGGAGTCAGTGGCCCGGGCTCCCCGGGTGGCCTGCTGTCCTCCTCATGAGGCTGGGGCGCCAGGGGTGCCGGAAGGCCAGGGGTGCTCGCTGCATCTGGACCTCCAGGCGCCCCTCCCAACCTTCCAGCTCCTTGCTTTCCGGAGGCCACTGGGAGAGGGCCAAAGAAGGCCCAGCCTCCGCTCCAAGGTCCCCTCCCCGACCTCAGCCGGAGGCAGTGCCAGTCTGCACCTGAAGCACAACACCCAGGAGCCACCGAGGCAGGGGTCAGCCTTGGTCCTGCACTAGTTACAGGTAAGGCCCAGGGCCTGTGACAGGAAGGGTCACTGGCTCATTCCCCACCTGGGGGGGGGGGGGTACGAGTAGACAGCTTTCCGGCCCAGGCACCAAGCTGTCCCACCCCTTCACTGATCAGGGCCACAGCGCCCATCTCCCACAGCCGCGCAGCCCCGGGCCAGGCCACGCTTACTTGAGCTCCTGGGCGATGGCGGCGATCTGCTCCACGCGGTCCTGGTGGGCAGCCAGGTCGCTCTCGAAGGCCTCGTGCTTCTTGAGCAGGGCCTTGATCTCCGAGAGGGTGGCCGTCTCGTAGTCCTTCTGCTGCAGCATGGCCTCTTTGCCTGAGCCCGGAAAGATGGCACAAGGCTGAGCGGAAGCCGGGGCGCAGGAGGTCTGACCCTCCACCCCGCAGGGGCCCAGGGGCTCCGGGTCCAGGGGTGCCCCTCCCCCGGGGATGCCCACTGTACAATGACTGATCGTCTGCAGTGTGAGACACCGGGTTATCCACTAAGGGGCCCGGCCAGGGAAGTTGCTGCTCTCCATGGAGCATGAATGGAGGGGCGGCATCAGAAGTGGTTACTTACAGAGGCTATGCCGGGCTGTGGGGAAACGTGTGGGGCATAACATTAACTTTATAGACAGCAGAAAACAACGTGGCATCATCAGGAAAAAAAAAACACAAACAAGCCAAGCAGTAAGGGGTACCCCATTTTATAGTTTCTCCAGCGCTGCAGGGACTCCCCCTCCCCCATACTCCCAGTGTGGTCAGTGTGTCCAGGCACTGCATTCACCGATGGCCAGAGCCTCCTTGGGCCAGCAGGTGCACTGCCCTCTCTCTCTTTAGGGGCAGGCAGGACTCGCATTTCTTGGGTTTCTGTTCCCCGGGAGGACGATGGAGTGACCTACGACCTCTCAGGACTCTTAGAGGAGGTTCCCAGCTGCCTTGTGAAGTGACTAGCAAAGGCCCGGGACGGACCTGGCCTGGCCGTCCACCCCGGCTGCACCCGTCATGGACACTCAGCCCTCTCAGTAAACGGAGGCTGGGCTGCGAGGCCAGGGCTGTGCCCAATGTGGCATTTCTCTCCTTCCCTCTACTCCTTCCTGTAAGTCAGAATAACATAGCAACACAAAAAACTACAGAGGAGCCTCGTTATCTCCACCTTTCAGCCTTTCCTTTATGGATGTGCTAAACCCACGGTGTGTGTGTGTGTGTGTGTGTGTGTGTGTGTGTGTATATATATATATATATATATATATATATATATATATATGTTTCCTGCTTATGAAATCAGCAGCAGCACATCACCAAGTATCCCCCTTGGCCCCACAGTCTTCACAGGGGCCACCCGGGGGACTGAACATCCGGCCAAGCAGCTGAGCCGCCTACTGTGGTTGACGAGCCCCTCAGCTCACACGGTGTACTGCAGATGGTCTCACCACAACGTCTCCAGACACGAGATTTCCCCCACACTTAGGGTTCATTCTTTAGACAGTCTCAAGAAATGGAATTCCCAGGTCAGTGGACGATACATCCTTAGGTATGAATGAGTCCACGTAGCCGGATTGCTTCGTTGGCCTGTGCGGGCACTGCTCATGGCCTGTTGGTGCTGCCAAGCCCACAGGGTGGCTCCTGCTCCGTGTTGTGCTCTGAGCTCTTTCTTGGCCCCGGAGAGGACATGACAGAAGCATGTAGGTGAAGAGTACAACCTCCACCATCCCCCTCTGCTCCGTACCGTCCACACCGGGATAAATAACTCTGTGCACGCGTGCACAAAGCCCAGCACAGGTACCCACAACAGGGAGCTGAAGCCAGCCCCCTGACTGAGTCCAGCACCCTCCTATCCCTACCAAGCCATGCCACTCCCAAGTGGCCATGGGTGCGGCTGTCCCTCTGGTCTCTCGCCTAAGGAGTGAGGACATCACAGAGCTGAGTGGGAAAGTCTTTGAGCACTGAGCTCCCCTGGCCAATGGGTCTGCCCCGGGGATCTAGCTGACACAGTCTCGAGGTCCTAAGATTTGGGCAACCCCATTCCCCTCTCCACCCCAGCCCAGGGTCTGAGGAAAAGACTATCCCAGATAAGATGTTCTCTCTGGAGTTAACCTCAGCTGCCAAACACACACACAAAGCCTGAGTGCCTCCGGGCTGGGGGAATGGAGACACACGCAAGAAAGCAAGGGCTCTGCTTCTCTGAAACCGGAGGCAGAAGCAGGAGGAGGGAAGGCGTGGAGGGGAAATACGCAGGCCACACTCTCCTGATGAGAGCCAGGTGCCATGAAATGGTAAGCCAACAACCCTACGAGGGGCTGTCTTGGGTTGAATGGTGCCCTCCCAAACTCAGGTCTAATCCAGACCTCAGAATCTGACCACATCTGGAACTGAGGTCTTTGCAGATTTTCTTGGTTAAGATGAGGTCCTTATGGATCAGGGTGGCCCCCATCCAACGATGGTGCTTTCATTAGAAAAAGGAGGGGGAGACTCAGTCACAGAGATGCAGAAAGGAGCTGCTATGCAACGACAGAGGCACAGGGAGGGAAATAAGGCAAGGAATTCTGGGATTGCCGCCAACCAGCAGACCCAAGGACTAAGCATAGGAAGCAACCCTGCCGTCACCCACTTTAGGACGTCTGGCGTCTGAACTGTGTCAGAATAAGCCACCCAGCTTGTGTTGCTTTGTTGCCGCAGCCCCAGGAAACGAACCCAGGAGGGCACATCACCACCCGCGCGGTCCCAATGAGGAAAGGAGACCTGGGGTCAAGTCTCTGGACTAAATTTACACTGCTGCTAGGTGGCAGGATCAGGATTCGAACCCCAACCTCCCTGCCTCAGGGAAATCACTAAGATGGCCTGAGCCAGTGGTCGGCAAACTCACTAGCCAACAGAGCCAAACATCAACAGTATAACGATTGAAATTTCTTTTGAGAGTCAAAAACCGACTTCTGCGCCTGGGCCACAAAGCTTCAATCACACTGTACATGCGCGCCCAAATGTGGTATTTTGTGCAAGAGCCACACTCAAGGGGCCAAAGAGCCACATGTGGCTCGCAAGCTGCAGTTTGCCGACCACTGGCCCTGAGCTATCAGCAATGGGCCTAGCTCTGTACTACGCCAGGAACTCCTCTCGCTGCCTCACATGTACGAATTCATTTCATCCCCGCAAACGTGGCAGACTGGTGCTACTATTATCCCCACTTTACAGATGAGAATACCGGGGCAACCAAACGTGCCTACAGCCAAAGCCCTAGAAAGAGAAAACAAAACCAGCAAAGCAAGAGTAGAAAGTTGTGGCTGATGGCTGGACTGGGGGAGCGTGAAAGCGGCCGCCTCACCGTCCGTCCAGGCCTCGTGGATGGAAGCCTTCTGCCGGAACTTCTCTGCCAGGTGGTCAAGCCTCTCCAGCCTCCGGATCTCGTTCAGCAGCCACTCCTCGTAGCCCTTCTCTGCCTGCTCCAGGCAGCCCCAGGCGTTGTTGATGTCCTACGGGGAGGGAAGGTGCACGGTCAGCCCACAGCTGCCCCAAGCCTTCCAGGAGCCTCTTGCCCATCTTGGCCGTGTCTGGCCATCTCCACCCACCCCCACGCATCCCCACTGGTATTTCCCTGGGCTCCTGGGCAGGGAATGGGGTCCGAGTCCACTTGGGCCACTCAGCTGTGCGGGGAAAGAGCCCAAGGCCTTCTGTGGCCCCAGGGCCGACCTCCAACAGGTCTCTCCACGTTTCCGGATCGCTCAAGGGCTCTGGGAGCCTGCAGGGACCCTTACCTGGCAACGAGTCTGAGAATGGTGATGCTGAACACAAACCCATAGCTCTTTAGACAGGGAACCAGCAACGGGACCGCCCACTAGTGACCATGAAGCTGCTGGGCGAGGCAGCAATGGGCTGAACCTGGCCTGCAAGCCACTCGAATCCCTCACTGGGTCTCCACCCTGTGCCCGTGCCCGGGGCCTGGCTGCAGCTGCCCAAGAGGATGGGGGTGGGGGGCACTTTTCCGAACTTGCACAGACCCTCCGGCCAGTACTGGTTCTGGTCACCTGAAAGCTGCTAACTCAGCCTGGAACCAGAAAGGACCACAATTTTCCTAACAGTAGACACGTCAGGGGACTTTATCCTCGCTCCGATTTCCCTGGGGTCCCGCCTCCTCCTAACGCTGTTTGCAGGTTTTGCCCTTTCCCCGCTCCTGGCTTTCTGTGCCCAGGCCTTCTCGTCACTCTTCATCTTAAAGGGCAAAAGCTCTACCCTGGTGGGTTTTTGAAGTTTCTTTTACATATGTCTCTGGCTTATACAACGTCTCCCCCGAGTCCTCCAGAGTACACAGAGAGAAATAACATCTAAAGTGACATCTATGTCATAATGACACAGAAATCTGTTAGTTTTTTTTTGTTTTTGTTTTTTAAGAGCAGTTTATTAAATAAAACATGCTTTTGGTTTCCCTTAAAGACTAAGAGAATCTTTCCCCCTTCCAATGTTTTAAGTGAATATGGGGTCGTAAGATTATAGCTAATTTCTAGGTTCTGAATTTTGCTTATTTGTATCTTAGAAATAGCCTACCACAAAAATGTTACTTGTTTAAGGTAATAAATGTGTTGTTAAATTTTTAGGTGCTTAAACAAGATTCCATGGAAGTAAAAATATCTTTATCAGGCCCTGGCCGGGTAGCTCAGTTGGTTAGAGCAGTGGTTGGCAAACTCATTAGTCAACAGAGCCAAATATCAACAGTACAACGATTGAAATTGCTTTTGAGAGCCTAAAACTGACTTCTGCGCATGGGCCACGAAGTTTCAATTGCACTGTACATGCGCGCCCAGCAAGTGGTATTTTGTGGAAGAGCCACACTCAAGGGGCCAAAGAGCTGCATGTGGCTCGCGAGCCGCAGCTGGCTGACCACTGGGTTAGAGCATCATCCCCATACGCCAAGGTTATGGGTTCAATCTCCAAACAGGGCACATGCAAGAATCAACCAACGGATACAAAGTTAGTGGAACAACAAATCAATGTTTCTCTCTCAAATCAACCAATTAAAAAAATGAAAAAAAAATCTCTCACTACTGAATTATGCCCCTTTGGGGACATTCTGTTTGCAAAGCTGATTTTTGAGAGGTGGGAAGCTGGCGGTGCCCGGGAGTCTGGGGTGGATGTTAGGGTCTGGAAGGGCCAGTCTGGCCTGGAAAGGTCAGGAGCAAGAGGCTCCCCGGGGAGAGAAGCCGCCCACCTCTGGGTGCAGGTGGAGCCTGGCGGGTCACCTGGAGGAGCAATGATTCCGGGGCAGGATATGCAGATCGGGCCTGGCTACAGATCCGTGTGGGAGCAGCTCAGAGACGGAGGCTGATGGTAGGGGGACAGCACAGGGGGGGGAGGGAAGGGAGGGGAACGACCCAAGCTGGCCCCCTGGCTCACCGAGACCATCCTGCCCTCGGAGGGCATGAAGGCGGGCCGGTTGCTGAGGCGCAGCTTGGTCTGCAGCGTGTTGAAGTTGATCTCCAGCTGGCACTTCTCCTGCACCTTGGGCGGCTTGTGCAGGCGCCGATAGTCGCGGAAGTCCTCCAGCTTCTGCTGCATGGCCTGCATGGTGTTCTCGGGCGCCCGGTTCTCCAGCCACGGGATGGTGCGGCGGATCCACTCCAGCAGCTGGGGGCGGGTCAGGGCGTGAAGATGCAGGAGGGAGGAAGGGACGAGGGCCGGCGCCCCTCTCCTCCGAGTCCATCCCCCCCCCCCCCCACACACACACAGGAGGCGCTGGCAAGTGTCTATCCCAACAGCACACTTTTCCCAACCCCCCCCTCCCCAGGTCACGCCCAGGCCACCAGGGCAGGTTCCAGGCCATTCCCTCTGAGAACCTGGCCTTCGTGAAACCTGGCCACTGAGGTATGTTAACCCCCAGCCGGCACCACAGCCTCCCTGCTCTGCCCAGGGAAGAACCAGACTAAGAGCAGGAGACTGACTTCCGGTTCTAGGTCTACTGCCTGGCCAGGCCTCAGCTTCCTCGTCTAACCCATGGGCAGGGTTAACAGCTGTTCCCTGAGGCCCTTGGTCAAAGCCTTCTAGAATTCTAGCATGTGGTGCCTGACACAAGAGAACAACTGGCTCCTGGGGCACGGGCAGGGGGTGGCCTGGGTTGTTTTCCTTGATGCGACGGAGGAGCAGTGGAGGTGATGAGAGGACATACACTGATCCCCTGTGAGGTGCCAGGCACGGCTCCCGAACTAAATCACCTGAACAGTCCTGCGGGGTTAAGGGTTATGGAGGGGGTGACCAAGGCCCTGGAGGCTATGTGACTTGCCAAGGTCACAGCTGGAATGGTGAGCAGTGACCACACCCAGGCACTGGGGGCCCAGAACTTGGGGTCCTACTAGGCTGGAGAGCCGATCCACCAAGGGGCGGGGCTGAGCTGTTCAGAAAGCTGCATGCTTTTAAGGGAGAAGCAGGTGCAACCTTACAACTCAAGTGTGGTCAAAGGCAGAAGAGCAGACCCAGCCCTGTCCCTTCCTGTCCCCGAAGCCAGCCTGAGCTGGCAACCATCCATCTGCAGCCCATACCCCCAGCACCAGACACTCACAGAACAGACACCAGCTGCAGAGCCTCTGAGACCTCCTTGGCTCAAGTCTCACGTGGCAAGTGAGAAAACCAAGACCCACAGAGGTTAAGGGATTGCCCAGGCTCACTGTTGGAAAAGCCGGGGACTGTCTGTCTCTCTCTCTCTCTCTCTCTCAAGCCCAGAGATTGGCCCCTGGGCCCCTGTCTGCTTTTGGGAGAGCAAAGAGGAGCCCTCACTTCCCTGGGTCAGCTGTGCTGGGGTCACGGGCCACACCCAGCCTGGGACTGTGCTCTGGGGATGGATTTGAAGGTACAGGTTCTGGGGCTCCCTTCTCCCTTGGGGTGGGGTGGCAGGCCTTGCTGAAGCCAAGGAACCCATGGGTACCCACATCACTGGCCAGCTTCTCGTAGTCTTCCATGAGCTGTTCATTCTCCTGGTTCACGGCCAGCACCTTGCAGATACGATTGGCTGCTGTCTCGGCCTGGCAAGAGGACAAAGGGGCAAGGTCAGCCACTAGGAGCACCCAGGAGGCACAGGTGCAGACAATGCCCCTCCACCCTGCCAGCTCCTGAGCTTCAAGTTCACCACCGCACCCCTCCTCGCCATCATCTCTGCCAGCCCAGGCTCAGCCCCGTGGGTAGGGGATGCTGGATAGAGGTCCGGTGGCTGAACAAGGCCCCGGAAAAGGGCCTGAGTTTGAGACCCAACAAACCCACTGGCGAATACATTCAAAAGGCTCAGGTCACACCCATCCGGGAATTCCAAGCGGAGGCCCTGGATCCCCAGGCTCAGGATCGCCGGCTGGATTTGCCAAGATCTTGGAGAGGCAGGAAGTCAAACTGGGGAGTCCCGGAGGAACTGCGGACTCAGAAGCCCCGGATCTCCCAGGGTCCCTGCAGTATCCTGGCCCGAAGTTCAAAGCGCTTTAGCCAAAACAGAAGGACCCACTGCTGCACGAAGGCAGGGCTTCGGATCAGCCCAGCCTGAGCAGGACGCCCAGAAGTAGGCATGGCACCCCTGGGAAGCTGAGCACACTCCGCACTGAGCTGGGCACACAGACACCGGTGGGCTCAGCAGCCAGAGGAACGAAAGGAGCCTGAATGGCAACCACACCCCAAGGCCCAGGAATCCCAGGGAGATGCCACCTCCTCCGGCCGTGCGGGGCCACTGTGCACCTGACCCGGGCAGAGCCAGGCGCTCCTAATACGCTTCGCTCAGGAAACTGTTTTAATTCAGCTGTGTTCCTGTGCAAGGGAGGGGAACTCAGAGCTTTTGGGGGGCCCTGGGATGGAAGGAAGACAGCCTGTGAGAAGATGATAAGCATCTTTTGGCCCCGGAGAAATGTGACCCTGCTGATGGGTGACAAAGGCTTAAGGGTTGTAGAAAGAGGGGCCCACACGGCTGACGGATGAACAAGACAAAACGGGTTTCGATGCAGCCAGACAGCCTGAGGCTGGGCATAAGGAAGAACTTCCTGAGAAGGAGGAAGGCATTAGAACTGGGATGGGATGACTAAGAACATGTAAATTGTAAATGTTTTTTCCTTGCAGGATTTCTGAAATAGGACATACACCCACTAAACCACATGACTTACAGGGGACCGAGCTGGGATGTTTGTGTGAGGGGGCAGAGTGAGATCATCACAAATGTCCTTTCAAGCTCAAAGTCAAGACTGCACCCCTCCAGAGCGAGCCGTCAGACTTGGGGGGGGGGGGGGTTTCCCCCAGGAGGGAATGGTCAGAGGGGGAGCTAAGGGCCCTCTGGTCTCAAGAAACTGAGGGAGGAAAAGAAAAAGAAACTAAGGGCAGGAGTCACATTCTAGACCCTCCTCCCCTGCTCCCCACCCAACTCTGTGCTAGAAATGGCACTTCACTCACAAAACTCCCGTTTGGTCATCTTTCCTTTGGAGGAACAAGTAACCCTGGGGAATCCCAAGAGCTGACAAAGAGGGAAATTCCTTTCTGGAGTCTGTCCCTGAAGATGGGGGTCCGGGGGACCCCTGTGAGGCAGAGGGTCCTGGGGACCAGGCTGGCATGCCCACTGGATGGAGGGCCAGGGCAGGCGATCCGAGGGAGGCCTCCTCACCTCGGTGCTGATGTGTGGAACGCGCTGACCAAGCAGGAAAGGAAGAATCGGGGGTGAGGAGGACCCCCATCACAGGCAAACAGCAGCTGCCGCTGTTCTATTTCAGGAATAAAGCTCCTCCTCAACCTCAAATCCCCCTCATTCATCTTGAAATCCTGGGCTCCCGAGTTATAAACATCATGTGTCAGTTTATCACACGGGCAGACTGAGTGATGCCTGCGTTTGTGGGGTTTGGGGAAACAGGGCCTAGGACTTCGGGAGCCTGGCCCATCCCTCAAAGCCCGTTGGCAATTCCGGAGTCCAAGGGGGGATCCTTTTGGACGCGGTCTGGGGGAGCTCCCATGTGGGCCTCCTGGGGACTTTTTACAAAGACCCAAGCCCTCCTCTCGGCCTGCCCCATCCCAGGCTGGCCTCGCCGGGAGAGGCAGACCAAGAAAACCCATCGTCATAACCAAGAAGCCTGCCTTTGGAAACAAAGCATGAACATCATGGAACAAAAAAAGGCCTTTGGTCTCCCCCTTGAGGGACAGCCTGCCCCTCCCCCATCCCCTGCCACCAGGAAGCAGGCTGGAATCCAGATTGGACTTTAGAAAACATGACAGGCACAGTCTTCAAACTCTGACCCTCCCTCGCTCTCCCTGCTCAATTCCTCCCCCACAAGCAGGCAGGCAGCCCTATAGGGGCCTGCTGGGTGATGGCTTACACCTGCTCGCACTGGGTCCCTGTGTAGAGAGGGGTTCCCTCTCCCACCCACCCTGCCTGGGAGGTCAGAGAGACCAGCCCGGGAAGAGAGACTTGGTAAGGCCTCCAGGGCTAACCCTGGAGTGAAAGGCAGGAGAGACTCCTGAAGGTGGGACCTGGGCCTCCCCCCAACGTCCTGGTGCTCCAGCTTTTCTCTCCCGTGGCTACAGGAACCCCGGGCGGGAACTCAGGACGGGGGCACCAGCACCACCACGTCTGGAAGAGCCAGCGCTCGCTCAGAAGCCCAAAGGAGAGATCTGTTCCGGGGAAGAACGACTCATCCCCTGAGGAACCTGGAAACGGAAGCAGCCCCCGTGTCACGGCTTGGGGCTCAGAGGGGGTAGAATCAAGGAGTAGAATGCTCAGCTCTTCCAGACGGGGACAGAAGAAGGGATGCAGCACAGGCCCCACGGGCTGAGTATCTGAGAGAAACAGCCCGATTAAAGGGCCGAAGGAAGAGGCTGGTGGAAATCGGTGTTCACCTTTCCTGGTTTCTATTTTTTCAGGGACCCCCTCGAAGCTGCACTACCTTCTCTATCACAGTCCTATGTTTGGTTTTACGCTCGAGTCATTTCTTTAAAAGCACGGACCGTGATTCCCGGAGTCCGGAGAGATCCCAAATGACAGTGCCAGCTGGCCCCAGCCAACGCGCAGCTCTGAGACCAGCTACTCCGACGGCAGCGCCACTCCAGCTGCCACAGGCAGAGTCTGGAGAGGCCCCGTCCTCAATGACGGTGACATCAAACCATGTGGCCAAATGACACCCGACCCACGGCCCACAGATTCCCACGAATGCCACAAAGACCTCCTCCGCGACCTTTGCAGTCCGTCATTTCCCAAATCAAACTTGAATTGCCTACTTCCTTCCTCCCGAGTCAGCGCCCCGCCCCGGTGTCCTGCCAGGGAGTCCCCCAGACCGAGGTGAGCTGGCCCCACAGCAGCTCAGCCCTGTCCCCACTGCGGTCCCCGCTCCAGCAGTGGGACGGGAGCCAGACCAACACTAACGTGCTACTCTCCTCCTGCAGGCTGCCCTTCCCACCCTCCCTGAGTCTTTCGCCCGAGGGCTCCTATTCGACCCTTAAGGCTCAAGCTCAGGTGTTTCCTGCTCCACAGTCTGGGTCCCGCAGCCCCGCACCCGCCCTCCCCCGCAAGTCTGCAGCCGAGCAAGCGGCGCACTGGCTACACAGCAGCCATCCTGCCTCCTTCCATGAAGGGTTTTCCCAGATGGGCCATGAATTCCTTCAGGGCAGTTGGGGGTTTCTTCCCCCAGAAGATCCACAACAGCAAATAAAGCAACCGACTGGCAAAGGGAGGATGCAGACGGCACCTCCCAATCGCATCAGGCTCGAGCCTGAAAGGGGAGTTTCTCAGAGACTGTTCCCGCTGGGCCATGACTGTGAACTTTAAAAGCTTTACAATCGGCGTCCACAGAATCTGCGTGTTGCCTGCCCATTCTAAACCCCTGCAGGGAAGAGGAGAGCTGAGGAAGAATTAGAACCACGACCAAGGGTTCAAACTGAAGTCGGTCCTCACCTGACTAGGAAAATCCATCACGCACACTTGCATGCCACTCACCTGTGTTGGGTACACATACTGCTACCTCTGCACACACGTGAACACACATGTGCAGGCATGCATTAGACCCTCTGCCTTTCTAGTTCCATTGTCCAAGGCTTGACAAGAGAAAGACAGGGGAGGGGAGAGAGGCACCGGGCACGGGTTTCGGCAGACTTCCCCACCTCGGCTCCAGACACGAAGACAGTCAGGACAAGCAGGGTGTGAGAGTCTGAAGGACTCCTCCTTCCTCCGCAGGAGAGAGGAAGACCCCCACCCCCACCCCCGGCCATGGCCTGCTTAGCTCCAAGCAGCTGCCTGAACCTTGCAGGCGGTGAGGGGCAACACTGGGTGAGGCCCTGACCCAGGACGTGAGAGGAACACCCTTCCTCCCCTCACTGCCACTTCCCTCCACCCAGCTAGGGGTCTTATCCTCAGATGTGGACAAAGGGAGTGTGAAATGGTTGCAACAGAGATGAGTGAGAGGAAGAAGGCGTGGGGGTAGGTGGTATAAGACTTGGGAGGGAGAAAAGCAGGCACACACACACACTCCTCCAAGCATTATCACAGCCAGGACACAGGGAAGGTTCTGACAGGGAAGGCCAGTGTCAACTTGCACAAAGCCCGGGACAGAACCCCTGGAGGAAGAGAGAAAGAGGAAGGAGAGCTCAGCCGAGCCCTGGACAAGAGCAGCCAGCCTGTCTGTGGTTATCAGGGTGGGGGTCCTCCGAGGCACCCAGATGGATGCTGCTCACATCCCGGCTAAAAGGTGGGGCGTCCGAAAGCCTGGAAGAAATTGGCGAGAGAGAGAGTAGCAGCAGCAGAGGTGGGACAAAGAGAAAGAGGAAGCGAGAAGCAGGCCAGAGGAGAGGCTGCCAGGGCTGGGCCTCCTGGGAAGGCTGGGCACCTAGGAGGGCGCCTCCGTTTCCGGCAGCGCCAGTGAGGCCTGGAAGGAAGGGGAGGGGCCATGGGGCCCACCCAGGCCAGGGAGGGATGGTGCTTCTGTGTAATTTCTTAAAGGCCCTCTTCCTCAAGGCACCTGAGCTGAAACACGGTCACATGGACTGTGTGAGAAGGCATTTTTACCGCCGTTGGAGGGATTCTAGGGATGCGCATTGCAACCTGCATTTTCTACGGTGCACACAGGGCCCTCTCGTGCGTGAGCAGCCTGCCCCGCTGTCCGTGGCGGGCCTGGTGGGAAGGGTCAGGCAGGGCTCTGTGCCTCCGGCCTGGACACCAGGGAGAAGGCAGGAAGGCTTCTGGCTGCTCTGGCCGCTGGACTGTTGGAGAGGATGGTCAGGCCTCAGTGGGGAGGAGGGAGAGAGAAGCGAAGGGGGCCTGGGGACGTAGGGGAACAGACAGGAAGCAGAGCCAAGAGTTGTGCAGCTGGGATAACGGCTCTTGTCGAGGGAAGGAGCTGAAACCACAGGCTTCCTTCAGGCTATGACGCCCACTGTGCCCAGCGGATAGGGACAGAGATGCAGGCGGCCATCAGAGCCTCCGGAATCTTCAAGTGTCCTGGCCAAGGTTCAGAGCGCGCCCCGCCCCGTGACACTGCGCCCGGGGAACCGGATGATGGAGCGCGGGTGAGGCCGAGGGAGAGCTCACCTTCTGTGCACCCGAGAAGGCGAGGCAGTGACATGAAACATTAGGTCACATGGCCTTCCCAGCCCGCCTTAGCGTGCCCACACATCTGCACAGAGAAGGAGAAGAGGTTGAGGAGGCAGTGGGCGGCAGCAGCAGCAGCACAGAACACACCCCATCAGCATGGGGGACAGAGAGAACACCAGACGGTCAGACAGACAGACAGACAGACAGACAGACAGGAGTGAGGGAATGGCAGAGAGAGGGGAAATGAGTTGGAAGGAGGAGAAGGGGCACGGGGAGGGGAGAGCAAGGCTGAGACAGGGTGGGAGAGAGAGCATGGGGGCAGACTGGGCCGAGGGAGGCGGTGGGGGGAGCGCCCTGGTCATGCCCCGTGTTCTCAGAGAAGCAGAGGAAGATGAGGGCACAGGTGCAGGGTGGGAGGGGGAGAGCAAGAATACAGCACGTCGGCACCGGGGGCTGACTCTACCAACGAGTCGGCCCGTCCTGACCCTGTGGCCAGGGAGAGGCGGGGGCGGGTGGGAGGGCGTGGCTCGGGGTCTGGCATGAGGTGTGCTGGGCAAGGAAGGAGCAGGAGCCTTCAGTACCTTCTGGGCGCCAGAGAAGGCGTGGTAGAAGCTGGACACGTAAGTCATAATGGCCTTCTCATCCGGTCGGGCGGTCCCCACGATGTCTGTCAAGAAAAACCTGGAGTTAGGGCCATAGCCAGCCGGTGCACACGAGGTCCACTCCCCACGAGATGCTCGCCGAGCCACCAGGTCTTCTGGCCGAGATGCTGGGCCGGGATCTAGCCAGCTTCCGGCATCGGCTCCCACTCACGGGAACACGAATGACCGAGGAATGAAATGGGGCCCTGAGGAAGCAGGCAGCAAACCCGAGGGAGAAACCTGGCAGGGGACAGCTGGCCCGGCTGCGGCAAGTTCAGGGGCAGAGATACAAGGAGTAGGAAGGAGGACGGAAGTGCTACAGACTAGAAAAGCATAAGAAATGGGATAATTAATTGCCATGTGCAGACCCTGGTTGGATCCTCATTTAAACAAACCAACTCTAAAAAGAGACGATGGGCCCTAACCGATTTGGCTCAGTGGATAGAGCATTGGCCTCTGGATTGAAGGGTCCCAGGTTCGATTCCGGTCAAGGGTATGTGCCTTGGTTTCGGGCACATCACCAGTGGGGGATGTGCAGGAGGCAGCTGATCAATGTTTCTCTCTCATCAATGTTTTTAACTCTCTATCCCTCTTCCTTCCTCTCTGTAAAAAAAAAAAATCAATGAAATATATTAAAAAATAAAAATAAAAGGAGACGACGGGGAAAGTTAATTGTGAGCTGCATAGTGGAGGAAGGAATCCAGCAATGGGAAGGTGCAAACGCTCCCTAAGAAAACAGCCACCTGTTAAAGGTCTGCAGTCTGAAGTGTGTAGCAATAAAGTACTGTGAAGTCTGGCATTTGCTTTAAAATATGTCAACAAAGAGAACAAAAAGGGAAAAGAAAAAAATAAAACAAAATTTCTGGAATTGTTCTGTCTGGATGACAGGTGTGTGGAAGTTCATTGTATTTTCTCTGCTGTTGTATGCATTTGAAAATGGCCCCCACAGACAGATACTGCTACAAACCAGCACATCTCCCTTCTAGTCTCTGAAAGGGCCATTCATCTTCCCAAAGTCACTTGCTTTTCCATATGTGTCTGGTCTTCCCCCACCTTCCCTTACAAAGTTAGGTGTGCATGCAGACCACCTGCCTGGGTTACTCTGTGCGTGCGTGTGCATGTGTGTGCATGTGTGTACATGAATGTATGTGTGTGTAACGCACGTGTTAATAAACTTGTTTGCTTTTCTCTTGTTCATCTCAGTGTCCGTCTAATTGACACGGTCCACACTGGAGAAGTTAGGAGGGCAGAGGGGAAAGGTGTTTTCCCTCCCCTACAGCAAAAGAACGCCACGCTGCACACGGCACCCGCTCCCTGACTCCAAGATGGAGATGAGAACCATCCTCAGACCTTTGACGAAGAAAACAGCCTTCGGCACCAGCTATCCCCTCTTCCTCCAAACCTCAGGGAACTGTGGGGTCCCTGACACTCAGGTGACCCCCATAGGCCAGGCCTTCTCCCTTCCCACCTCGGGCTGCTGGGCCCCTGCCCCTTCCCCCCCACACACACACAGGTGGGAGAAGCGGTGGAGGCCCAGACAGAAAGCGCCTTTACCTTCGGCATCCAGCATCTTGGGGATGTCCAGGTACTTCTCTGCCACGTCGAAGGCCGTGTTCAGATTTGTGAGGGGGTCGTCCTAGAGCGAGAAGGGAAGCTTAGACAGTGAGAGGTCTGACAGGATGCCGGCGGCCCGCACAGGCGTGACCACAAACTCTTGGGGCAGAGGGACTCGTACCGCCCTGCCCACAGAAGGTCAGGAGCCAGCTCTGGGTGTGAATGCTGGCCTCACCGGCTAGGGGGTTAAAACATCATCTTTTGCCCTGGCCAGTGTTGCTCAATGGTTAGTTAGAGAATCGTCCTGCAAACTAAAGGGTCACAGGTTGGATTCCTGGTCAAGGGCACATGACTGGGTTGCAGGTTCGATCCGCAGCCCCACTTGGGGCGCATGCAGGAGGCAACCAATCTCTCTCTCTCTCTCCATCCTCTCCCTCTCTTCTACTCTCTCTAAAAAATCAATGGAAAAAACATCCTCAGTGAAGATTAACAACAAAAATGCCATCTTTCCTTCGCAAGCCTTAGTCTGTCAGAGAAACGGGGGGTAAGAATCCTGGCCTGCAGCCTAAGGAAGAACTGCTAGGTGTGCGTGTGAGAGAGGCACTGGCCCGGGTGCCATCTGTCTCGGCTTCTGGTTTCAGCTCGGCCACCAGGGAGCGGGACTGGAAACCCGACCTCCGTCTCAGACTAGGAGCTCCCATGCTCCTGGGCTCCCTCAAATAGCCACAGCCTCCTGACTCATTTGATTTCCGCTACTTTCTCAAGAACACTGATTTGGGGTTGGCGAGGACATGGAGGAATCGAACTCTTGTGCCCCAGCGGTGGGGCTGCAGGATGGTGCAGCTGCCGTGGAAAAGCATGTGGTGGTTCTTCAAAAAGCTGAGCATCGAGCCACCATAGGAGTCCACGGTGCCAGAGGCCAGGAGCTCTGGGGATGGAGGGGTGATGGCTGCACGCCAATGCGAATGTACTGAACGCCGATGAACTGGACACTTAAAAACAGGGACAGCCCTAACCGGTTTGGCTCAGTGGATAGAGCGTCGGCCTGCAGACTCAAGGGTCCCAGGTTTGATTCCGGTCAAGGGCATGTATCTTGGTTGCGGGCACAACCTCAGTTGGGGGGTGTGCAGGAGGCAGCTGACTGATGTTTCTCTCTCATCGATGTTTCTAACTCTCTATTCCTCTCTCTTCCTCTCTGTAAAAAAAAATCAATAAAATATATTTAAAAAAACAAAACAAAACAAAAAACAGGTACAATGCCTGGCCAGCGTGGTTCAATGGCTGAGCGTCAACATACGAACCAGGAGGTCTCCGTTGGATTCCCAGTCAGGGCACATGCCCGGGTTGTGGGCTCCATCCCCAGTGGGAGGAGTGCAGGAGGCAGCTGATTAGTGATTCTCTCTCATCATTGATATATTTTATCTCTCCTCTCTCTCTTCCTTCCTCTGAAATCAATAAAAATATGTTTTAAGAAACAGTTGCAGTGGTAATTACTTCACTACAATGTAAAAAAAAAATGTTTTTACGTGGAAGAAAACCCACAACTTGGGGGGCAGGGGAGATCCTTGTAGGACCTCCCACCCTCTTCCTGGTTCCCCAGAACAGTAATCTGAAGCAAGCTGGCTTTGTCATCCGGGACCCGGTTCTCCCGGCGCGGAGGTGAGACGCCCAGGGAGCAGAGAAGTGAACACATCCATTTGGGATGCTCTCAGGAAGAAACTGCTCAAAACAGAGAAGGTGGGGCTCTTCTGGGAAAGTCTCCAACCGCTTCCAGAGCGAAACAGAACCCTGCCAAGCTGGGAAGGTCATTTCCGCCCAGGGCCTCAGGCAGGCTCAGGCCGGGGTGCACATCCGCCTGCCCCACTCCGTGCCCAGGCTCTGCCAGGCCCCTCGCCCACCGAAGGCAGGTGCAGGAAGGAAGAGCCTCCTGGCCGGAGCCCCTCCGCTCCCCCATGCCGTCACAAAAGTACCCATGATTCAGTGGGACCAGCTCAGTGTTGGGATGTGGGCTGGATTGTATTGATGCTACTGAATTATAGAAACGGGGGGAAATGAAAAGACACAGAGGACAGAGAGCGGGGCCGGAGCTGGCCGTGTATCAGATAAAGGCCATGGGACTCCCAGCTCCCTCATAGCGGAGGTGCCTGAGCCATGGAGTGGGGGAGGGTAAGTGTGGTCCCGTTTTATTCGGGGGCGGGAACAGCTGTGGATGAACCGGCTGCTGCCACCCCAGCACACCCACAAAGGGACACAGACACATGTACACCTGCCACAAAAATGCAGCAGCAGAGCAGTGAGGAGGCATCTGACGACGCCTTTAAAAGACAACATCGCTACCTTCAGGATTTCTGGCCTCCGCCTGGCTGGTTTGGCCCGATAGCTTTCAGCTGGCTCGGGGTGTTTTTACAACTGACATTTTTTTTTAAATATATTTTTATTGATTTCAGAGAGGGAGGAAGGGGGAGAGAGAGACAGAAACATCAATGATGAGAGAATCATGGACCAGCTGCCTCCAGCCCGCTCCACACTGGGGATCGAGCCCACAACCTGGGCATGTGCCCCAACCAGGATTTGAACCGTGACCTCCTGGTTCATAGATGCTGATCAGCCACTGAGCTATGTTGGCTGGGCCCTTCCTATCCCCCAAGACACCAGCTCGGGGAGGGCTGCCCGGGGTGCGCACACCTGGGCGCAGCCACGCGCTGTGCCAGGAGCAGCCACTCTCCTTCAGGGGGTGGCCCTTCCAGGTGGGCAGGGCCCCAACTCGAGCTTCAGGCCCAACTTGGGCTGTCCAGAGGGTCGGGAATCTCTCCTTTCCTCTCTCCAAACCAGTGGTTCTCAACCTTCCCAATGCCGCAATCCTTCAATATGGTTCCTCATGTTGTGGTGACCCCCAACCATAAAATTATTTTTGTTGCTACTTCATAACTGTAATTTTGCTACTGTTATGAATCATTATGTAAATATCTGTGTTTTCCCGATGGTCTTAGGCGACCCTGCTAGCGGTTCTCAACCTTTGGAACCGCTGCTCCAAACCCTTCTGGCAGCTCCCTCCCCACACCCTGAAACACAGGGCCCGATGCCACCAGGCACGGTCAGAGTGGCTCTCAACATCCAGGCTCGCCCGGCACTGAGCAGCAGCAGGGGCCCCGCGGGGCGCAGGGAAGGTGGGGGTCTTTGCTGAACACTGCACTCTCCTGTGTCAGGGGTAAGTGGAAAATACAACAGCCCAGCTCAGTGGTTGAGTGTCCAAGTATGAACCAAGAGGTCACGGTTTGATTCCTGGTGAGGGTACATGCCCGGATTGTGGGCTCAGTCCCCAGTAGGTGGCATGGCAAGAGACAATCAATGATTCTCTCTCATCATTGATGTTTCTCTCTCTCTCTCTCTCTCTCTCTCTCTCTCTCTCTCTCTCTCTCTCTCTCTCTCTCTCCCTCCTTCCCTCCCTCCCTCCCTCTCTAAAAAAAAGAAAGAAAGAAAGAAAGAAAGAAAGAAAGAAAGAAAGAGAAAGAAAATACAAAAATGGTCATTCCTAGGAGCTGCCTTGCCAAGAGGTTCAAGTGCAGACTGGCAACAGTCCAACCCGAGCTCCGGGTCACCAACTGGGGGCACAGGGAGGGCTCCAGGTGGCCTTTCCCAGGATGCCTGTGCCATATGGGCGAGGCGCAGGATGGACTGAGAGGGAAGATGGGGTAAGTACAGTCTCCAAGGTCTAGGCCAGCATCCTTTTACCAGCCCAGACACTAAGAACCACCACGAGGCTATAGACACAGCTCCCAGCTCCTGGTCTCCTCAACACCCTTCCCCCATCCTCCCTCTCTGCCTCCCTTCCACCCCCCTGTCCCCCCCCCACACACACACACACACAGACACACACAGACACAAGAAAATCCTGCAGCCACACCTCAGGATTGAGGGAGACCAAACCCATCGTGGGAACTGCCTGGGGCTGCACAGTGAGTCTCGGACACGGCTCAGCTACATGGCCCGAAGAACGCGCAGTATTTTAAATCATGAAACTAACAGCTCCACCTTATCAAACCCGGAAAATGGGAGGGGGAAACGCCACTGACGATTCCACCGCCCTCACATACTGCTGCGGTGGCTCTCGTCCTTTCCTTGTGGGCTGTGCGAGTGGGCACGCACACACATGCTGTGCACATATGGTCCTGAGGGAGCCCTAGCAGTGAAGGTGTCTTTCTCTTACTCCTCAACAGGCTGTCTTCCTGGCTGATCTAAGGAGACAGACACCTGCACGCTGGACCCCTGGCTCTCAGAACAGGGTCGCAGCCCTGCCCAGTCCTGCCCACTGGGACCCACAGCCGGGAGCTACAGTGGGCGGTCAGCCGGGGGAGCACACGTACCTTCCGCAGCTTCCCGTAGTCGATCAGCTCAGGCCGGTGTCGGTGGATCAAGGCACAGAAGCCAAGGCCATCCTTCCAGCTGCCCGGGGAGAGAAGGGGGTGGGCTGGTGAGTGTGAGTGTGAGTGTGTGTGTGTGTGTGTGTGTGTGTGTGTGTGTAGGGGGGGAACACTAACTACAGGGAAAGCAGGACCTCCTTTTCCCGCAGGTGGACACACAGCCCTTCAGACCAGGAGCCAGAGGAGAGAGGATGGGCAGGAGCATTCCTATCCGCCAGTACCCCAGGCACCAGGATCAAGACTGTAGGGGGCTTGGCACGTTGAGATGCACCTGCCACATCCCAGCTCCCCTACACCAAGGCCACGGCCTGTCTGCTCTGTCCCAGAACCCGCAGCGGCCCCAGCACAACCAAAGGCAAATGAGGCAGTAGCCGCGTCCAGGCAGCGCCAGCAGGGGTGGGGGGCACTTAAGCGCCGGCAGGACTCCCTTCCCCCGAAAAGTGACCTCTGCTCCGGTCTAGAGCCGAGACCGACCTATCCACGGGGGCCTGCGGGCCTCGGGGGCAAGGCCTCGGTTCTGTCGGAGCCCGCCCCCCGGCTCCCGGCCACTCACTCACCTGATGTGGAAGTTCTGGATGTTGACGTTTTTGTAAGGGGCTGTCTTCCTCTGGCACCACAAGAGCAGCCCTTCCTTCGCCGAAGTCTCTGTGGAGGGCCAAGGCGGGAAGAGAGATCAGGGGCTGGCTCGGTGGCGGGAGGGCTGCCGACTGGTGGGAAGCCCCATCGTGACGGCAGGGTCCCGGCTCCTTCACATAGAGGGTTCCCACAAAGACCCCTAGATTCCAACCCTGCTGCTGACAAAGGCCGAGGAGCTATTTGCCATAGAAGCCGGCTAGGAAGCTGTGCAGAGCGAGCTGCAGCACGCACCGGAATGCTGAGATGATGGCCTATCTCCCTGTCACTCCTTTTTATCCAAGAAATGGTAGCGCCACAAAATAAGTGGGCAACCGACTGGTCTACGAAATCTAACATTCAGGAATCTCCTGACAGGAGCGTGTGCCATATGGAAAGAAAGGACTGGGACTCCTATTGATATTGAGTGTTCATCTAAAAACTAAGGCCTCCTTATATTAAATGCACGGATCAACTCTGTTGGTGTATGTGAAACAAACGCATGCCTATCAGAGAAGGCAAAAAGGTAGGTATTGGAGGGGACCCAGGAGCTCCCAGAACAGGAGGGCTGCCAACCACACTGCCCCCATGTGTCCACCTCTGTGAATTGCAGGTTACAGCACTGAGTGAAGTGGCTTCCTGGATGACCTCATTGACTTTCAACTCACAAAATTTTAAAATGATGTTAAACAATTCCTACCAAGAAAATATAATAATTCAAGTGCAAACAACTTAAAAAATCAGCAAAGCTAGTGTTTCTACTCTCAGTTCAAGTTCTTTGTCAGCTACAAGATTAAAATAATAACTGTTTAATAGGAGCTGACAACAAGTCTGCCAAAAAAAATCAAACTCACCAAGACTACTTGAAAAATGAATTGGTATTTGCCATCCCTAATAAGAACCAGGCTCTAAGTGGCTGCTGAGGGCATCTTTTAACCACTTCCACCCTAAATACCAAGTATTTATAAACCAAACTTAGATCCTCACATCGCTGTGTCACTGTCAAGCCAAGATTTCCGTAACGAAGCAAACTAGTCCACGCTGTTTTCATTAAAATGTTACATTAAAAATCTTTTAAAGATTTCTTTAAAGTTAATTTAAAATACTATCTCCATCTTATTTTTGTATTTTGTAATATGCTTGGAAATACATAAACATAAATTATGACAAAATCAACATGTATCTCAGCTCAAAAGTTGCTAGAATGTAGAATCAAAAGTTTAGAGATCGCCCTAGCTGGTTTGGCTCAGTCAATAGAGCATTGGCTGTGAACTGAAAGGTCCCAGGTTCTATTCCAGTCCAGGGCACATGCCTGGGTTGTGGGCTCGATCCCCAGTGGGGGACTTGCAGGAGGCAGCCAATCCATGATTCTCTCTCATCATGTTTCTATCTTTCTCCCTCTTCCTTCCTCTCTGAAATCAATAAAAATATATTATTAAAAGAAAAGTTTAGAGCCAAAACCGGTTTGGCTCAGTGGATAGAGCATCGGCCTGTAGACTGAATGGTCCCAGGTTCAATTCCGGTCAAGGGCATGTACCTTGGTTGCCGGCACATCCCCAGTATGAGGTGTGCAGGAGGCAGCTGATCGATGATTCTCTTTCATCGATGTTTCTAACTCTCTATCCCTCTCTCTTCCTCTCTGTTAAAAAAAAAAAATCAGTAAAATATATATATATTTTTAAAAAAAAGAATGTTAAAAAAAAAAGTTTAGAGATCACTGACCTATAGTGGCCCCTTGCAGATTTACAAAGTGGCCACCAGAGGGAGCAAAGTGGAAGACATGGGATCTACTCCCCAGCAGGCAGGCCCTCCTGGCTGCTAGTCCCCTACTTTTTCAAGATTTAAAATCCAAGAGCCAGGCGGGGTTTCCAATGCACTTCCCCACTTCAACCTTGGGCTTTCTCAAAGTGGGGTGTTCCCCTGGTGCCAACACTCCTGAGGGAACCAGCACCTCAAACAGTTCTCCTCTAGGGACTGGGAGGGAGGACAGACAATAGAAGTGGGTCAGAAGCTCAGGGTGTGGCCCGGGATCAGGCTCCCATGCCCAGACCAGAGAGCCCTTGAGGCTGAGCCCAGGCCCAGCGGAGGGGCTTGGAGGAATCATGGAAGTCCGAGAAGACCTACCTTCCACGGAGATGTCCTGGATGGCAAAGCGGAGGATGATGGTCCAGATCATGCCCAGGGTCATTTTCGCGTTCCCATCCACGATTTCTACAAAAACAGCAGCAGGATGGGTCGTGCAGGGAAGGGGCAGAGTTAGCATCCCCCGAGCGCCCACGTGGCTCTGTGCACCAGGTAGAGACTCAAAGATCACACTGTTCCACTTCTGGAGGGAAGTCCGTGTGTTTTTTAAAGTTAGTGCTATTGCGTTTCACAGGTGACATGATCTGGGGGAGTCGCAGAGGCACAAGGTGGTAGACGAGGGGTGTCCTGGGGGTACAAGGTGAGTGAGGTCAATTCTACTGGGTATAACAGAGAAGGGGGCGACTTAAACCCGAGGGTGTCCAAGAGCCTGACAGAGAGCGGAGGCATCTCAGAGCTAAGGGCCTCTGGGCACAGCATCATGCCAGTGCAGGCCCCAGAAAGCACTACCTAAGGTTTGCACACTGCCACCCTGAAGGCTCCACTAACTCACACATCACCTGCACCGTGCCATCCATTGGGTATTTTTTAAGGAAAAGGAAAACTCAAACCTCTTCCAGACCGTAACAAGATGCCCCCTAAATTCAGTCTAAGCAGCACTTTTCCAACTTTCCAAATCATGCTATAAATCCGATGGAGTAATATTTCCTGGGCCAGGCAACACAAACATACACGAGCCCTGTCTGCAAGCGCCTAAGACACGGAAGAGCCACTTGCAGTCTTGGGGCTTGAGCAGCTCACAATCCAATGCAAACTCCTTATTCTCACCCGCCTCCAGACCCGGAGGCGGTAACCTGGCCCTGTGGTGAGGTGCTCTGGTTAAGAGTGAGGCACCCCAAGAATATCTTACTTTTTTGGCCTACCTGCAACACACGTGTTTTTAGGGGAGATGCAACAGAATCAGGAGAAGGGGCAACTTCCAGGGTTCCCCGAGCCAACGCCCACTAGAGTTTGTTTCCCACACACCCATTAAACAAGAGTGGCTTCCATTATGGAAATTACACTCTAAGATCTCACTCCCTTCAGAGAAGGGAGGGGAAATGTGGGTGCTGCTGTCTGGCCACAGGAGGCACAGGGCACTGGGGTAGGCGGGGGCTCTGCGGAGCCTGCACTGGGGTGCTGAGAAAGGAGGGGCCGTGTCCACTGAGGACCTGGGACAGGATGTAACTCTTCCTGCCCTCGGGGGCCTTGAATGCCCCTGCCAGACCCCCAGACACCAGCAGGGCCCAGGCCTGAGTCGGAGGGCCTGGGTTAGAGACACGGGAAGCTGTAGTTCCATGTGACCATGTTCCTGAGCAACCCAGCCAGGCCTCCGCAGAGCCTGCTGGGGGAGGGGGAAGGCGAGGGAGGGGAGTCCATGGAGACTCCGTTCGTAAAGGTTTGAGATTTTTTTTTTAAGTGCCCTTTCATTTGTGACTTCTAATGGGTTTCATATCCGTTACATTTAAAGTGTTTATATAAATTGATAAGGAAAAAGCCTAAACCCACCACAGAGAAGCAGGCAAAGGAAAGGAAGAGACACTTTATGAGGCATGAAATAGAATATAACCCCTTCACAGGATGTTCCATCTCACTTGTGATTAAAGAAATCAGACACCGTTTTCCCAGCGATCAAATTAGCGAAGTTAAAAAGAAATGAAAAGCACACGTACGCCTTGAAGTGGATATTAGCCTAAAACGAAACAAAAATCACTTCCTGGGACATCATCTGGCAAGAGGGGCAAGCACCTCGGAGCTGGTCAGCTTCCCGGGAGCCAATTCCACCTCCAGGAGCCCAGCCCTCGCCACAGCTGTGCCACGCAGAGCACGGCGCCGTAGGAAGGTGCCTGCTGGGAGGGTCTCTCTCACGACCCCAAGTCAGCAGCCATGTGAATGTACCAAGTACACGGCCTCCCTGCGTAAATGCCCAGACCCCATGCCCTCTCTGCTCACAACCTCCGCAGCTTCCCACCTCACCCAGAGCGGAGGCCAATGGCAGGCTGGGTCGCTGGGCGCCCCCCGGCCCCTCCTCCCGCCACCCCCTCCAGCCACAGCTCTCCCCACCCTTCACCTTCTCATTGAATTTGTCCTCAACCACCCACTTGACACCTCATTCATCTCTCTCCATCTGATGTGAGGACGTCCTGTTTTCTCTCGCCCCTTCTAGAACATAAGCTCCCAGGAGGGTCATGATGTTCTGTTTAGCGTCACTGCTTAGAGCCCAGCACAGTGCCTGGCACAGAGAACACCTCAGTCAGTATCTGCTGAATGAATGAATGAATGAATGAATGGGTGGATGGATGGATGGACGAAGGGACGAACACTGGAGGACGCTAACCAGGTGGGTGGATGGGCAGAGGAAGCGCCGGCCTGTCCGCCCCGGAACAGAGCACAGCTGTGCCCAACAAACAGACAATTAGCAGAGCCATTAAAATGACATTCTCGGGCTTTTAATGACTTAGGGAAAATCTTTGCACAGTAATATGGAAAGCATAAAAAAAGCAGCCACAAAATTTTATGAGCCGCATTTTGAATACAAGGGGAAATTTGTTTAACGCCTAGGAAAAGGTCCACTGGTGATAACGCTGCCTGCTGGCCTTTCCGGGAGTGAAGGCTGCTGTGCGTCCCCTCCTCCCCCCGTGTCCCCTGTGTCCCCTCCGCCTGCCCCCCTGTGCAGGCCCCACGCCCGGGCCTCCCGCTGGCCTCGGGCTCAGTGCCCTCCCAGCACTAACGAAGACAGGCGGCTTCCTACGGGGGTCTTGCCTACTTACTCCTCTCCTCCTTCCCCAGAAAACCCCCAGGGTTCCAGAGGTTTTATTTACTGATTCTCACACCAAAGAGGCAATGTCGCTCCAGAAAACAGAGGAGCCAAGTACAGGGGAAGAGAGGGGTGTGATCCCTGACCAGCCGGGGCCCCGCCCCAGCCCCAGCCCCAACCCCCACCGGACTCCCATCCCCCTCAGCGTGTGACCCTCCCCAGAAAGGCGGGTCCTCTCCCAGCACCTCTGTGTCTGCAGCGGGACGCCCCATGTCACAGGCAGCTCCCTGTCAGGAGGCTGCGGGGAACTGGGCCCCGTGGGGACACCTCGAGGACCAGTTGACAACACTGCCGTGAGTGTGGGGGGGAGTGGAGGCACGTGCCCGCCATCCCTGATCTACAGTAGTTATGAAGCTGCTCACATCCAGGATTTCCTCGAACCCGGCTCTCCCTTCCCCTCTCTCGCCCCCCCCCCCCCCCAACCCCGGTTCCGCAGTGTTCAGGCAGCAGAATGAACTGAGGAACCCCACAAGAGGGAAACTAGCCCCCCATGTCACCACCTCCAGACCAATGCTGCACACACCACCCCTCTCCCCCCCCCCCCCCCCCCGCAAAGGAGGGACGCTAAAGCATCACCGCCCCAAGCTCTTGGCACCCACACCGTCATGCTTGCCCTGCCCAAAGGTTAAAAAAGAACCCTGCCGAGGTCCCCTCACCTGGTAAAATCCCACCCACTCACCCAGGTGAAGCCCCAGCCCCTGACCCTAGAAACTTCAGAATCGAGGATCCTACAAGCAATCTGAATATCCACACGAACCCCTTCCCAAGGCTGCCTCCAGCCTCCATCTGAAAATCTCGGGGACAGGGAGCTGCCCCAGAGTCCATTCCCAGAGGTTCCGCATGGAACCCACAACCAGCCTGCCCAGAGGTCCCCATTCCGGGCTGGTCCTGCACTTCAGGGTCGATCAGAGTCTAGTCCAGCACCAAGTGACAGCCCTTCAAAGGTCCAGGATCTTCTCTCCCCGACCCCCGCGCCCCTGGCGCCCCTCCCCACCCCCTTCCCTGCCTGGTCTCCACAGCACAGGATGCTCCTCAGTGAGGCCAACCAGCAACGCCTGGAACACCCCAAGCCCCAGGAAGTGCTTACTGCAGAGGACCCGCTCCACTGCCTTTTATTGCATCGTCCTCGCAGTGAAATCCATTTCGGTAAAATACACAAAACCCATTTGGAGCTCATCTCGTTTCCTGGCTCAGCAGAGCAGCCTCCCGCAGGATCCTGGAGCTCAGCGTGAGAGGGGAGAGAGATTTCAAAGCGGGGAGCGGCGAGCAGACATGCTATCCCATCTGAAGGGACCCTTTAGGAACCCCTGGAGAAGCGGGGCCTGTGGGAAAGGAACTGGAGCACCACGGCCAGCAAGGCTCAGTGACGTGCCGAGATCAGGGGTGGGGGTTTGGTTTCGGTCTTTGGTCCCACCCCTCTGCTGGGGCGAGCACAGCCACCCTGACCCACCACGTCCCAGCCGGCCACCGCACACGGAGGAAGTTTTGTCCTGGGCCCTGCAGGGAGGAAGCTGGGGAAGATGTTTAGAACTCAGCTCTGGAACCAAATCCTGGGTGCAGTCCCGGTTCTGCCGCCTGGAGGCAGCCTGGCCCGGAGCCCGCGGTCACCGGCACTGCACGCTTCCACCCCAGCAACTCTCTGAGCCCGAGTCCGTGACAGTGAAATGGGGCTGGTGGTACTCACTCAGCCACGTGCATTACGCCAGGCTCAGATCTGAACTCGGCACCTGCTCTTCTCGCTCTCCTTCCCTTTGCTGCACAAGGTCTTACACATTTTCTTTTTTTCTTTTTTCTTTTTCATAAATAGTTCAATTTTCCTTTCTAAGAATCTGGGTTTCTGGCTTCTTTTGAAAAAAAAAAGGGGGGGGGGGAGATCTAGCAAGTGCTGGGCCTGGATTCCCACCAGGCAGCACCCCTATGTGGCAGCTGCCCCGTTTGGAAGGATGTGCTCTCCCCCGTCCTCCACAATCCCCACCCGCCCCTACTGTCCTCCCCTGGCCCAACTCACACATCCTTTGCTTCCCTTCCCCGCCCCAGAGGGCACCTGATCCTGCACAGGATCACCTGAGCAGCCATTTCTTTGGCTCCTCGTCTCTATCCAAGTGAAAACTTGTTCCGCCAAGGCTTTCTTCCCTCCCTAATAGCACCAACTATTCTTTTTTCTTATTAAAAGGCAGAGGGCGTTTTCCCACTCACAAATTACCCTGCTATGTGCAAGTCCTTCAAACATGTACTGTGCACCTACTATGTGCATCACACCGCGAGGAGCAGGGGCCACAAGGGTGCAGAAGGCTGGTCTCTGCCTCACCGCTGAGGGGTGCTGAGATACCCCTCAAGTTAGCCCAAGTCCCCGAGAGGCAGGAGTCGGCCAACTTTTCTGTAAGATGGCCGGATAGCAAATGTGTTTGGCTCTGGAGGCCAAACGGTCTCTGTCAAAGCTACTCAGCTCTCCCTCGTAGCAGGCAAGCAGCGAGGACAGTCTGTAAACACACAGTGTGGCTGAGTTCCAATATTCACAAAAACCCGGGCCAGCCAGTTTCGACCTCAGGGACTGTGATCTGCAGACCCTTGTGCCGAAGGCGCTCTCTCCGTTGGATGGAACAACACAAAAATCCTTCAATTTCTAGAGAAAGGAGGAGGGGGACGGGAAGGTCATCCACCAGGGAAGGGCCCTGCTCCTACGGACTGGCTGAAGCCAGGCCCCCTCCCTCAAGAAAAGGCAGACCCGGGTTTGAGTTCTGGCTTTGCCACGCACGATGGGACCGTGAGCAAGTTACCTACTCAACTGCGGCACCTATTTTCTTTTCGTGACATGGAAGCAGTAATGAGAGCCCCCGCCTGGGGCTGGTGTGAGGACTAAGTGAGAGCCCTGGTGCTCAGCACCTGCCACGGGGGAAGTCCTCAGTGATCACAGCCATAGCCACGTTGTGAATGAATGCATGAATGAATCGAGCCTGCGTCTTATTTATCTTTCGATCTCTGGCACACAAGCAGGTGCCGCATACACACTTGCTGAATCCACCCGATACAGTCCCAACGGGGGGCGCAGTCCTGACGGGGCGTGGTTATTCTAATCTAATCACCGACTCTCCCCCAACCCTTCAGAGCCACCGTGCTGCACACAGAAGCAGTGCCACCTCCCTTTAGCCATTAAGAAGGTGCTAATAACTGAGCCTTAACAATTTTTTCAGTGAAGGAAAAAGAGCCAAGAAGTCCCTCTGTGGGAAAATGCTATTAAGAATGTTCCTAAAGGCTTGTGGGCATCAGCCTGCTGGGCCGTGGAGCCTCCGGTAGCTTCACCCTCTACCCACCAGTGTCTGCACCCTCTCCCCGGCCCACAGAACTCTCTGCCTTGGGCAGCGAGGTGCAGCCAGGCCTGCAGGCGAGGAAGGCGGCGCTGCACACACAGGGTTGCCCAGTGCTGGGACTGGCTGAGGGGTGCTGAGGGGTGGGCCAGGGAGTGGACTTTTGTTTGCCAGGAGCGGAGGGATAGGTGGAGGAGGCTGAGCTGGGATGGAAGGTACTGTTGTCACATGAAGAATCACGTGACATGAGGTCAGCCAGGTGGAGGTGTTGGGAGCCCCACTTCCCAAGGCCGCCGGGCTGTGTGGGCGCAGGAGTCAGGGTAGAAAGGCCCAAGGGAGCATAAGCTCAGGCTCTGAGGGGCAGCCCGAGGGCCGGCCGTACTCACCTTCCGCTCCGATGGACACCAGCTTGACCCCCTTGCTGGCAATGAAGTCCAGGGCCTTGTTGACGTTGGAGATCTTGTGCACCCGCATCTTGCCTCTCTCCGGCTTGGCCAGGCGCTCACCTGAACACAGACCGGGAGCGGAAAAGGGCCGGTGAGGTGACGTCCACCAGCCGGGCTGCTCTCCCAGCACCCTCACCCAGAGTACACCTCGGCCAGACCCCCCTGGTCACCGGACAGGGAACGAGAGGGGGCGCCCACCGGGACTCTTCCTTCTCCCACGCCTCGGACCTCGTGGCCTGCGTCCATCAGCGATTCTGCACGGAGCCCCTGATGTGTGTCAGGGACGTGGCTGGGCGCCAGGAGTACGGGGGGGAGCAGAACCATTTCCTGCCCTCGTGTCCTTATGGCCCAGGAAGAGAGACAGATGTTCGGTAGAGAAGCACACAAGTAAACATATACAAATACCGAGACAGAGAAAAGCTTAGAATAATTGCCTAAAAGGAGGCTGCAGGAGAGGAGGGGCGGGCAGGAGGGAGAGGAGTCTCGGAGTGCAGGAGAGGGCCTCCGAGAGGGAGGGCAGCCAGGCCTCGACGGCAGGGAACAGCGATCGCGGCAGAAGGAACAGCACATGTGAAGGCCCCGAACTCCATCCGGGCTAGCCTGGGCCTGGGAGCGGGATGTGGGTCACTCCAGAGTATGGTGACCAAGTTCCCACCGGGTCCCATGGAGCTGCCCACAGCATCCCACCCTCATTGGACAAACAGGGCTCTTGTCCCAGCACTGCCTCTGGGGGGCACCCTTAGCTCAGCTCCAATTCCACCCCCACCCGCACTCGGCCGCCACTCCCCACCCACCCCCCCCCCCCCCCCGATCTCCACCTTCCACGTGGGAGCTTCTGTTGCTCAGGTTTCGGGACCAGAAGCTGCATGGAAACTTTCAGGACCAGAAACTGCATGGGGAAAGGGGAGTTGGTTCTCCCAATAGCCCATTCAGAGCATCATCCCAGAACAGTGGCCTCCAGAAACCTCCTGAAACCACTTGGAAAATGTTTGTGTGCAACACACACGCCCTAACCTGGGGAAGGTTTCAGCGTCTAAATGCCCACAAGCCACCAAAGGCTGAGAACCACCATCCGAGAGCCTGAGACTCAGGGCCCTTGCAACTGTCATGGTGGCCAGCCCGGAGCCCCGGCCCCCGGCATGTCAGTGGCCTGGCTGAGGAGGCTCTGGGCCAGGCCCACCCTGTCAGCAGAGCAGGTCTGCAGGGGGCTCCCAGCTTTCCTGCCGCAGATGTCATCTGGCCTGGCAGCTCCCAGGGAGGCACAGATGGAGAGACTTTCCACGTGTGGTTCTCCCATGGCTGTGGCCACTGCCCTCCAACAAGGCACCCACCCTCCTTCTGAGCAGACGAGAAACCATAGGGGCTCCCTCCCATGGCTGGGTGGAGACAGTGCCACGTGCCACCGCTACCACTACCCCCATTCCCTCCCTCCCTCCCTCCCTCCACGGCCAGGCTGCTCCAGCTACGCCCCAGTCCTCAGCCCTCAGCCCTCAGCCCTGCTGAGCCTGACCAAGGCCAGTGGTTTTCAGACTTTAGTCAGCACAAAGCCACCTGGAGCACCAGCCAACGACAGATGTCCAGCCACTCCCCTGCTCCTCGTTTCTGATTGAGGAGGTGTGGGTGGGGGCTCTGAGCCTGCTGTGGGTGCTCCAGGGACCACACTTCGAGGACCTCTGTAGGCGGCACTTCCTTCCTTCTTGTCATCCCACTCATCTCCGGAGGTGGGGGTGACTCGGTCTCTCCGAGCCTCTGGAAGAGACGAGCCTGCCTGACAGCCATGCACAAGTCCTCCTCGGGCACAGACCACCATGCAGTGGGGAGAGGGGGAGAACACGTGAGCCTCGATGACTAAACCATAGGGCAAATTGACACAACAGAGAAATTAATGGGGTGCCTGGAGGAGGGCAGCCCTCAAATTGGGGGGAGGAAGGAGGGAATTCCTGGAGAAAACCCCTGAGCTGAGTTTTCAAGAATGAAAAACAAACAAACAAACAATGCTAGGTTGGTTGGTTGGTTTTCTTAAACTAAGAAAATATTCAAACTAATAAATGTTGGGAGGGAAGATTGATAGAGGAGAATGGACTAACAGGTCATTGGAGAAAACAGTATGGCAGTTCTTAAAAACTTAAACACTGCCCCGGCCTGGTGGCTACGTTGCCGGAAAGTCGGCCCGCACAGTAAAAAGGGCATTTACAGGAGATAACTGATCATGTTTCTCTCACACCAATGTCTCTCTCCTCTCTCCCCCTTATTCTATAAAAAAATAAAAATGAAATTTAAAAAATCCATTAAAATTTTTATTATTTTAATCGTCATCTTCAGGTAAGGATTAAAATAATAAATTTTTAAATAACTTAAGCATGGAATTTCCATATTACCCAACAATTCCACTTCTGAGCAATGGAATATTACTCAGCCTAAGGAAATTCTAACCCGTGCCGTAACAGATAAACTGGAAGACATTATGCTAAAGGAAATAAGCCAGTCACAAAAGGACAAACACTGTCTGATTCCACTAACGTGCGGCTCCCAGAGTGGTCACACCAGAGACAGAACGTAGAAGGGTGGCTGTTGGGGGCTGGGGTGGAGGCATGGGGAGTTAGCATTGAAGGAATATGGACTTTCAGTTCTGGAGACGGATGGTGGTGATGGGTGCACAGCAATGTGAATGTACTAGATGCCACTAAACTGTACCCTTAAAAATGGTCAGGTCCCGGCCAGGGAGTTCAGTTGGTTAGAGCATCGTCCCGATACACAAGGTGGTGGGTTCAAATCCCTGATCAGGACCCATATAAGAATCAGCCAATGAATGCATGAATGAGTGTAACAATAAATGGATACCCCCCCCTCTAAAATCAATCAATAAGATTTTTTTAATGGTCAAAATGGTAAGTTTATGTTTTATTTATATTTATACATACATACATATATATATGTGTGTGTATGTGTGTGTGTGTGTATATATATATATACACACACACATTTATATATATATATATATATATATATATTTTTTTTTTTTTTTTTAAACTACCCACCCCTCCACCACACAAACACACACACACACCGATTTCATTTCGAAGGAAAATAGAAAAAAAGTATTGGTGTGTGTGTGTGTGTGTGTGTTTTTAAAGGCAGTTAGCACGGAATGTGGGGAGGACCAAATGCCTCGTGTGGCAGGGGGCCTGAGGACCGAGGCCTTTTTGGGAAAAGCAAGCTGAAACCAAAGCAGGTGCCAGCTCACGAAGCCTCCTGCAAGCTGTGCTGAGGAATGTGGGCTGCGGGCACAAAGCCCTGGGGAGGCGCCGAAGGCTTCCAGCAGGGAACAGCCTGACCATATATGGCTGCGGCACGGACCCTCTGGCTGCGGTGTGGTGATGGACTGCCTGGGCGGGAGGAGCAGAGGTTTCCGAGGGCCTCTGTGGCATCAGCGAGGTGAGGGCCACAAGGACCCACGGTAGCCAATCACAGGAGGAGATAACATGTGTGGATGGAGGTAACGTGTGGAGCTTGAATGCCAAGTTGGAAAGAAGAGCGGAGGCAGAGCTGTCTGATTCCTAATTAGGTTTAGGGGAACAGGACAGAGACTGCGCAGGAAAAAGGTCCGCCGGGGCCAGGGGTGGTAAGCACAGTTTTGGACACACTGAGGGGGACACACCGGGGGACATCTAGGTGGAGATGTCCAGGGCAGATCAGCATTTAAGAAGGGGCTTGAGCCCTGGCTGGTATTGCCCAGTGGACAGTGCGTCAGCCTGTGGATTGAAGGGTCCTAGGTTCGATTCTGGTCAAGGGCATATGCCCAGATTGTGGGCTCAATCCCCAATGTGGGGCATCCAGGAGGCAGCCGATCAATGATTCTCTCTCATCAATGATGTTTTTAACTCTCTCTCCCTCTCCCTTCATCTCTGAAATCAATAAAAATATATATAATTTTAAAAGAAGAAGAAGAAGAAGAAGAAAGAAAGAAAGAAAGAAAGAAAGAAAGAAAGAAAGAAAGAAAGAAAGAAAGAAAGAAAGAGAGGAGGAGGAGGAGAAGGAGGAGGAGGAGGAGGAGAAAGGAGGAGGAGGAGGAGGAGAAAGGAGGAGGAGGAGGAGGAGAAGGAGAAAGAAGAAGGAGGAGGAGAAGGAGAAAGAAGAAGGAGGAGGAGGAGGAGGAGGAGGAGAAAGGAGGAGGAGGAGGAGGAGAAAGGAGGAGGAGGAGGAGGAGAAGGAGAAAGAAGAAGGAGGAGGAGAAGGAGAAAGAAGAAGGAGGAGGAGGAGAAGGAGGAGAAGAAGAAGGAGAAGGAGGAGGAGAAGAAGGAGGAGGAGGAGGAGGAGGAGGAGGAGGAGGAGGAGGAGGAGGAGGAGGAGGAGGAGGAGGAAGAGGAGGAGGAGGAGGAGGAGGAGGAGGAGGAGGAGGAGTCTGGGACTCGCTGACACCACGTGGAAGGTCAAATGAAGGGAGCGCCTGAGGTTGCCCAGGGTGAACCACGGCTAGAATACTGAGGACCACCAACCTTCACAGGAGGTGGAGGAAGGCATTCACAAGACAGCCAAGGAGCGCGTTCAAGGGGAGCCGTCCCTCCAGACACCTGGACATGCGCATTCCAAGCTAGAGGTACAGATGGCATCCTGTGGCTTTAGGCCGAGAGGTTGCCGTGGAGCCAAGGCTTAGGTGTAGCCATGGTTGCGTTCTTGAGCACAGAATCCTAGCATTTTGGAGAAGGGACCTCAGAGGCCCTCTCTCAAACCCCCCTCTTCTTGCAAATAAGGGTGCTGAGGCAAAAAGGCAGCGGCTTGTCCAAGGACACACAGATGATTGGCAGCAGTCTCCTGGCCTGATTCACATGTCACCCCAACTTCTTTCGGAATTCCCGAGCTAGCCCAGGACCACGGCAGAGCAGCAGCAGGGCACCAGGGAAGCATTCCCAAAGTGGCAGCCCAGCGGCAGCCCCTGGTCCTGGGCCAGGGCGGCCCTGCCCGGCTCACACTCCCAGGGCCGGGGCCCACCTCACCTGAGATGACCTCGAGCAGCAGCATGAGCTTCAGGCCGTCCCGGAAGTCCTCCTCTATGTTCTCGATCTGCGTCCCCGCCTTGCGCAGGTGCGAGTTGCACCACGCCGTGAATGTCTAGGCAAAGGAGAGACAAGCGTCAATCACATGGTCGCTGAGGCCCTCACAGGGGCCTCCCCGGGTCCCAGGGCCCCCCTGCCTCACACCATCTCTTTGGTGGTTCGATATAAGGCATGGGTGGGAACAGCGGGATGGACAAAGCAGCACCTTCCTTTAATGCCTCCCCTCTGGGCCTTCTTCCGAAACATCATCCCCCACCCCAGTTATTAGTACCACTAATTTGCTTCTTAACTTTAAGGCTTAGTTTCAATCTCCATAGTTTTCTATTGTTGTTTTTATTTTTTTACTCCTCACCCGAGGATATGTTTTCTACTGATTTTCAGACAGAGTGGAAGGGTGGGAGGAGGCGGGGGTGAGGAGAGAGAAACATCAGTGAGAGAGACACATCAATTGGCTGCTTCCTAGATGCATCCAGCCAGGGCCAAGGATCAAACCTGCAACCAAGGTACATGCCCTTAACCGGGAATTGAACCTGTGACCCATCAGTCTGTAGGCCAACACTCTACCCACTGAGCAAAACCAGTCAGCGCAATCTTCATCGTTTTAAGGCGAAGAAATACCCCAGAGGTGATACATAAAGCCTTATTAATACCATGGCGGGGGCGGGGGGAGATATACCATAGGATAAATTAGTTTATGACATCCTAGTATACTCAGCACCTGCCTAAATAAAAGGATTCATCAGTTTTGTCAGGCACACAGTTCAGAATCACAGTGTCAGGACAAGGAGAGAGACAGGTGAATACCCCAATGTGTATGCCTGTGTCTTTGGGGAATGGAAGCAGCTTAAAGAATTCCAGAAAGGGAATGTAAGGAGCCTAAATGAAAGACCATCGGTGTTGAATGTTCTAGTCTGTGGGGAGAAACAGCAATATTGACGCTCAATATATATATATATATATATATATATATATATATTTTTTTTTTTTTTTTTTTTTTTAAATCTTTATTGAAACTTTTTCTATATTTAAGCAGATGATCAGGCAGGCCACAACCAAGCTGTCCTGTGCCAACAGCACACCCTGGTGACTCAAAGAAGGAAAAAGATAACAACAGAGAAAAGTATGCATTTTCATTTTGTAATGTTCCTTCTACAACCTGGGCACGTGTCTCTCCCCAGCTGTCACATTCCATGGGAAACAGAGAGAAGCACCTCCTGCTTCAGATCCAGCCTATTCCTCAGCAACTCCAGACTTCTCTGCACCAAATGGCACTCACCGCTACATGGGGGCTCAAGGGCCAATGTTCAGTCCCCACAGCACCCCAGGCAGCTCTCCTCCCACCTGTCCTCCAAGTTTCAAGGATGAGCAGCGCATTATTCTCTGTATCAGCAGCAGCCACACTAGAGATGCCCTCCTCTCCTTGGAAAGGTCACCAGGCCCATGACCTCCACCACCACTTCCGCTTGTCCCAGGGAACTCCAACAGGAAGTGGCAATGGGTGGGCGGGGGCGGAGAGGAATGCCCCACCAGTGATTACTGGGGGCAAATAAATGGCTGCAAGCGCTGTAAGCAAAAGCTGAAGAGTCTGTGAGTGAGGAGGAGAGATGGCAGTCCACACAGGGGCAGTCTTTGTTTTTCTTTTTTTGTTTTTTTTTTAAATATATTTTATTTATTTTTTTTACAGAGAGGAAGAGAGAGGGCTAGAGAGCTAGAAACATTGATGGGAGAGAAACATCGACCAGCTGCCTCCTGCAAAACCCCCACAGGGGATGTGCCCGCAACCAATGTACATGCCCTGGACCAGAATCGAACCTGGGACATTTCAATCTGCAAGCTGACACTCTATCTACTGAGCCAAACCGGTTTCGGCAAGGGGCAGTCTTTGGACAGACTGGCACCCAGACTGGAGGTGGGCAGGGGGCATGTACTGGTTCATCAGCCTGGAATACCCTCTATGTCATGTTTGGCTAACACATCTTTCAAGATCAGGCTAAGATACCACTCCTCCAGGAAGCCTTCTTGCAGCCACCCACCATGTCTGGGTTGGGAGCACAGAACCAGAGCATCCTGCACCGGCTCCATCACTGCCCATGTCCTACTGCACGGTCCCTGGCCGGCCTCTTATTGGTTCCATACGTCCAGACTGGCACGGACTCAGTGCTCTCCCTAGAGTCCCGCCACACAAAGTCAGGAACACAGCTGTGAAGAAACAGCAAAAAACCCTGCCTTGTGCGGGGAACATCCTCGTGGATGTAAAAATCAAGCAACTGGCTGAAGGAGCAAGCGGGGAACCCATGCAGAAAGGAGGAAGGTCCTGGAAGATCTAACCGCACCTGAGAGTGATACTGAATGGTATCAGTAGGGGGCGCTCTCAGGGACCTCGGGGAGCAGAACACACCTCAGGGGAAAGGGTATGTGGCAAGACAGGTAAGAGTACCCACTGGGTGCCCTTCCTCTGGCGCTGGCCTCACAAAACTGGCAGAGAGGGCAGGGTGAAGTGGCTTTTGTTTTCATTTTGTTGTAGAAAATATGAGTTTCTAAACCTGTAAAAGAATTTATTGTGTAGTCCCACATTCTCTCCTTCTTGCCATCTGTCCGTATATGCACTTCTGCCAGTGTCATCACACTGTCCATTCGTGGGGTGGGGCGCCTTTATGACCACCACCACCTATACCGCCAGAGCACCTGGCTCTAACCTCCCCTCCAGGCCCCGCCTCTGCCTGCGGGCTCAAGGGGAGTGGGATCGCCCAGCAACACAAAGGGCTGGTCTCAGGTCCTACTGGGTATCACCTGCATCTCCACAGGTGGGGGCTGGAGACTCGCTGGTCATCGCTCAAGTCATGGAGCGAGGGCTGGGGTGTGAGGAAAGGGGAAGGGGCCGCTTGTGTAAGACACTGCTTTGCAAGAGGAAAGGTGCTGTTGAAAGCAGCCTGCCTCGTTTCCGGGAGGAGCCGGACTCCCTGCCAGGAGACAGACCGCACCTGTGTTTGCTCAGGTCTCCCATGCAAAGCCTGGTGCGGAGGGCTCGGGCCTGCTCAGGGCTAAAACCTCCAGGCCCCGCCCCTGGCTCCCTCAGGGGACGGCCCTGAGGGGACCTCTGAGCACCACCCGAGTAAGAGAGTTCCCCTAGGAGGCAGCTCCTAGGTGGGAGCTCCCACCTAAGGAGAAGATAGTGGGGGCAACTCAGTGATTAAGAACAGGCACTTCCCAGCCCCGGCTGGGTCATCAGGTGGTTAGAGCATCATGCTGGTTACATGTTTAATCACAGGTCAGGACACATACAGGGATCAATCAACGCATACATAAGGGCATAAGTTCTCCTCAGAGGCAGGTCAGGCCTTATTCTTAAAACCTGAGCTCCCACCTTATGACAGGCAAGGGCACCTGCCTCAGAGGTCCAGCGAGGAGGAAAAGCCAACAGTCACAAGGGATGCTTGTAGCTCAAGATGGAGACAGAGGATGCCATGGCCTCTAGTCCAGACACCCCAACGTGGTGGTGGGCCACCCTACCGCAGCAGGCTACGGTCCAGCCTCATTCAGATCCAGGGCAAGGGGACATTTTATTGCCTCGGTCCCAACCAGGGCCTGTCCGATATGGCCTTCCCTTTGCTCTAGGAGCCCCATGCTGGGGCCTTGGCTCACAGCCTGACCAAGGAGACAGGGCCTGCAGGGGACTCGCTATTGTCGAAATGGGCTCAGGGATGCTGAGGCTTCTCAGGAAAAGGGCTTAGGCACCACCCACGTGGGATGTGCTCACAGGGCTGCAGTGAGGGCTAGTTCCCTCCTCGTTTCACTAGCCACCAGCCCCACTGCACAGCCTCTGCGAAATCTGGATGGGGAAAGGAAGGGGGAGGGAGGACTGCCAGAGAACAAAGACCTCTGCTCATCTTGCAGTATCTACCCACCTCTCTCATCTGGCATCAGGAGATTTTAGTGGACAACGAGCATAACCATCCAGCACGGTAGCTCACAGGACTTCCTCAGGATCACGCCACAGAGCAAGAATCCAAGTGATCAGAAGGATTAAACCACTCTAAAGAGGACAGTGCAGATCCGGCCTCCATCTACCCCCAGCCAGATGGTAGGTAACCTTGTAAGTGACTCAACATGGCTCTGCCACAAAGCACGCATTGGTGAAATGGGGGCAATAATGCCACGGGCTTGGGTAGAGGATTTAATGAGACACCCCACTGAAAAGAGGGCCTGGCAGTGTCCCGGCTCAGTAATAATTACCTGATATATTGTTACCACAACAATTAGTTCTAATTATTACAAGTTCATGCTGTTCCACATGTGGCATCAATGAATGTCTGAGCTGGAAGAGATGTTAGACATCACCCAAGTCAAACTCTCACGTTACAACTGGGGACACGTGGATCAGAGAGGGTGAGTGGCTTCCCCCAGGCTACACAGCAGGGTGTGTTCACCGCTCGGCCTCCTGACTCCCAGTTTCAGACGCCTTCGGTTCCACCAAGAGGACGTGCATTTCAGGTGCAGGTTTGGGTGGGGTGCTGGAAGGGCCCAGCAGAACCAAGACCGAGACTGCAGGTGGCCGGGGAGGGGGGTGCATCTTGTGGAGTGCCACTGAAAACAGGGCACTGGCGTGAGAAACGAACCAGATGGAGTCTGGGCGACCCTGGCCAGCACGGGCACAGGGAGTTTGAGTTAATGGAACATCAGTAGAGTTGGCGTGGGATGGGCAGCCTCTCTGGCAAAGAGAGGCAAGGGGAGCAGTGCCCAGAGGCAGGCGAGCAGTTGTCCAGAGGTGGAAGATCATTCTGTTTGGTGAGCCGCTCAGAAGCATGTCTGGAGAACTCTGGGAACTGGGCTTTCACCAGGAAGACAGAAAGACTCAGGGGCTCACCTTCAATATCTGAAAGACCCTCCCTCGGACAGCAAAGAAATGTGCTGGGCACATACCCAGGCAGAACAAGGCAGGCAACTCTCACCAATGTTGAGGAATATAGGTTCTAGAACAAAGCTGACCTAGAGCCACCAGGCCCAGCTCTGAGTGACCTTGGGCAAGTGACTTCACTTCTCCAACCCTCAGTCTCC